CCTCCAAAATGGAGGAGGTTATATTTGGCTTAAGAGGACTCTGCTGAATCCAGAGTGAGTGATATCCCATTGTCGTGACCTATTCTGGAGATGAATGATTGTGTAGGGTTGTGCAAAAATTGTTTCGAAAAAGTATTTGAAGTTGACAGCAGGTGTGAGGTACCTTTGGCCTGAGGCCAGTCCTTTCAAACCACACCCACTTTCCCGTCAACTGACATCACCCAAAGCCATTGGCTGATGGGCAGGGGGCAGGGATAAATTCTTCATTGGCTGTGCATGCAAGAGGGGTGTGGAACAGGCACCTAATGCAGTAGCATGATTTAACCCTTCTGCCTGCAATCTGAAAACCTTTGAATGAATTAATAAACATCAGTATGAAACTAATTTGGATTTATGAATTTATTTATATTGGTTACTTCAAACATTCATTGTCTTACAATGAACTATTTTTTAAAGCAATAGATTATAAAACCAGAGTGCATTTGTTTTCATGATTAAATTTTGATATTTTGACATTTCCACCATCCTACATAACTTGGGCCATGTTCAGATTTTGTAGAGGTGCCTGCATGCCAACAAAGAAGATGGAGAATTGACAAAAGGGCAATGTGATGGGCTGGAGTTGCAAGGAGTTTTTCTCATGAAAGGCTTCTTCCAAAGCTGTGCATATTTGTCTAGGTAGAGAATAAGAAATTCCACTTTGACCTAATGTGGAGCTATGACAGAAGATTGTAAATAATAAATTAGGTTCTTTTAGCTGTTTAGGTGTTTTCATAGTTGAGACCCAGTAAGCTCTAGAGAGAGAGGGCAAGTAAGCAGTCAGACAACCAATATATTGGAATTTCTACATAACATTGCTTTATTGATTGACAAAGAGAACACATAACAAGACAAGGGAACATGCACTCAGTGATTCACACAAACACACTTCAATCATACTCACCACCTTTTCCCTAGGTTGGCCAGATCTAGTAAAAGGGATGGGTGGCTGACAGTGGGATCCCAGCTGCGTCCGACACACACCCTTCACTGGAAAGTCTCTTCTTATATAGTCTTTTTTGGTGTTCATCTGAATATGGGCATTTCTCATTGCCTTTGGCGTGTTCTTGGCAGTCCTTCGTCTTTAGCATGTTAGCATGTTCTTGGCATTTCACAACTTGCATTGTTTGTACCTGGTCTTCTGTAACTTTTTGGCACAGTACGACACTCATTGTTTGCAACTAGCATTGCATAGCTGTTAAGTTGTGGGTGAACATATCAGACGACACAGCGATTCTTCAAACAGCTCTTGTTTATTCACAGGCCAGAACAGAACTGAACTGAAGGGTTCAGCCAGCCTGCCTATATAGAGCTCCACTAGAACGCAACAGTAACCATTTTCTGTAACTATCCAATCACTGAACGTCACTTTCAATCCCTTATTTGCATATGTGGACCTGAACTATCTACAGTATCCCCCTGCTGGCCCAGGGTGAGAACTTCAGTACATAACACCCCTCCCCACTGAGATAAGGCGTTAGTTACAATCATAATGGTTTCCTTATATACAGCGCTACACGTAATGGTTCAATTAGGCACAAAAGCATATCTGTTACATTTCACCTACTTCCATTAGACCGACAGTATTACATGTCCAACAACGTAGTCCCTCAAATAAGTTGGGCGCTTGGAAACTCTGCTAGACCGCCGGGGAGCGGTACCTAGGTCTGGGGTAGCCGCCCGATTCTTGCTGAGGCTGTGGCGCAACCCTAGTTGGCGTTGAAACCAAGTCCCCTGGATCCACTGCTGTGGGTGGAACCTCCGCAAGTCGAGTTGGCGGAATGTCAGGCACGGCAGTGGTCTGAATCTGTGAGAAGTCAGGCAGACCCTCTGAAGCGGCTTGGTTCGGCTCCATGCCTGCAGTTTGTGAGAGAGGTGTAGGTGGAGCCTCGCCATCTATAAGTGTCTGTTCCGGAGCCACGAGCACAGTTGGGGGCACTGCGGTACTGTCCAAGTCCCCAACCCTGCGCCTAAGCTGGTCTATGTGCCGGCGCCACAAAGGTCCGTTTTCGAGTGCCACCTGGTACGAGTGAGGTCCAGTGACTCCCACTACTGTGGCTGGCACCCAAGGAATGTCCCCCACAAAGTTCCGGGCAAAGACCTGGTTTCCTGGAACAAAGGACCGTGGCGCGTTGGCACAGCCTGGGGATTCGGCCACGGCAAAGTCCGGGTGCAGCCGGTCGAGCAGAGATCTGAGGCAGCAGCCCATACGCGGTTCAGCAGGACTCTGCCCTGTGGGGTGATGTGTTGCACGAACAAGTAATCGGCGACCCGCTCATGCCAGTCTCCCCGGTCCAGGCGCGCCAGTGCCTCTTTTGCCGAGTGCACTGGATGGATGAAATGGTGCCGTTAGGGCATGGAGGATGCCCAGTCCCAAAAGGTATCGCTCAAAAGTGCCTGAGGTGAACTGCCGTCCGTTGTCGGAGACGAGGACATCAGGACACCCATGCGTTACAAAGAGGCCTCGCAGCACCCGGATGACGGCCTCGGTAGGGGTGGAGGGAATCAGGGCCACCTCCAGCCATTTGGAATAGGCGTCTACCACTACCATAAAGGGCCGGCTGCGAAAGGGGCCGGCCAGATCGATGTGCACCCTCGACCAGGGTGTCTTGGGCATCTCCCAGGTGTGTCCCTTAGCTGCCGGTGGCACAGGCCTAGATTCTTGGCACGCTTGATAGGCAGAAACCCAGGCAGTGATGGCATTGTCCATGTTAGGCCACCAGATGTAACACCGAGCCAACGCCTTCATTTTGACGATTCCCGGGTGGCCAACGTGCAGAGCCTCAAGTACGCGTTGACGGAGTCTTTGGGGAATCACGACGCAGTCTCCCCACAGCAGACAGCTGCGATGAGCCGAGAGTTCATGTTGTCTGGTTGTGAACAGCTGGAACTCTGATGTAAAAGGCCCTTGTGGCCACCCCCTCCACACCCAGTTGAGCACACGGCTGATGGTGCGATCCTGGGCAGATGTGGAGGCCACAGTGGCAGCCGATACAGGTGCTGCTGGAAGATCCTCAATCAGGAGGAGCGATGAAGCAGGAGCCAGGTCTTCCAGAAACACTGGAAGAGGGCAACGGCTAAGGGCGGCCCATCGATTTCCCCGGGCGATGGATGAGCCGGTAGTGGTAGGCAGCCAGGAAAACAGTCCATCGCAGCATGCGCGGCGAGAGGACCGGTGGAGTTGGTCGATCACCGGCGAGGAGGTCCAGGAGCGGCTTGTGGTCGGTGATGAGGTTGAAAGTCCTGCTGTAGAGGTATTCATGGAACCTCTTCATTCCAGCCACAAGTGCCAGTGCCTCCTTGTCGAGCTGGCTGTAATTCCGTTCAGTCAGCGATAGCGTCCTGGAAAAGTAGGCAAGCGGTGCTTCTCTTCTGTCTGGAAAACAGTAACTGAGGACACCGCCGATGCCAAAAGGTGGGCGTGACAGGCAAGGACCAGCAGCCTGGCTTCACAGTACTGTACCAGCACACTGTCCAATGAAAGGAGAGCCTTGACCGCGTTGAAGGCCGCCAACACGCGATGACCCCAGGACCAAGGTGTCTTCGTGCTGAGGAGTCGGTGAAGAGGCTCAGCCACCGTGGCTTTGTGGAGCAGGAACATGTTATAAAAGTTCAGCAGTCCCAGGAACGCCTGCAACTCCTTGTTCTTTGGGATGGGAGCCAGCTGGATAGCGCAGACCTTGGATGTGGTCAGGTGAAGGCCGGAGGTGTTGATAAGATAGCCCAGGAACTCCACCTGTGGAACGGTGATCTAGCACTTCTCCCTCTTTATCTTGAGCCTGGCCTCCTGGAACCTGGTCAGCATGGCGCGGAGGCACTAGAACAGCTGCTGGTGTGAGTCTGCGGATACCAAGACGTCATCAAAATACGGTACCACGCCCGGAAGCCCTTGCAGGAGACACTCCATAAGGCTTTGGAAGATGCCAGGAGCCACACTCACCCCGAACTGCAAACAGTGGCAACGGAATGCCCCTTGGTGGGTCACAATTGTCTGGGCTTCAGCGGTGACATCATTGACGGGCAGTTGTTGATAGGCTTGGGCAAGGTCCAGCTTAGCGAAGACCTTACCCTCACCCAGGGAATGCAGCAGGTGTTGGACAACAGGAACCAGATAAGTGTGCTGCTGAAGTGCCTTGTTGATCGTGCACTTCTAGTCGGTGCAGATTCTCACCGACCCGTCCGGCTTGACAGGCATGACGATGGGGGTTTTCCACTTGACATGGTCAACTGGCTCCAAAACTCCTTGGGCGATCAGCTTGTCCAGTTGTTCATCCACCTTAGCCTTGAGAGCAAACAGAACCCGGCGTGGCTTTAGCTTTATGGGGGCGACTTGTGGATCAAGGCTAAAGGAGATGGGCGTACCTGTATATTGCCCCAAAGTGCCGTCAAAAACCTCGGCAAAGTCTTTGACCGGACCCTCAGTCTCTGAATTAGAGATGCAGTTGATGCCAGTGACTTCCAGGCCGAGGGCATCAAACCAGTCTAGCCCTAGGAGGCTTGGCCGCTGACCTTCGACCACCACGTCGGAGCAGGCCCGAAAAATCCTTGAAGGTGATCTGGAACTGGCCAACTCCTACCACGGGAATGTTGTTTCCCTGGTAGTCTCTCAGGTGTAGGTGGTGAGAGTCGAGTTGCCTTTTGGACACTCTGGGTACCAGTCTTTTGATGGTGCTCCAAGACACGATGGACAGGGCAGACCCGGTGTCGATCTCCATGTCACATGGAGTTCCTTCAATGAGCACAGTGAAGTTCAGCTTGCGTCACATAGGCGAGTCGGTTTGGCCAATCGTGGTTCCAGATGGGCAGTGGCAGTTGGTGAGAGCGAAACAGCGTTCCTTGGCAGACTGGAGTGAAGACTTGGACTTGCGAGTCGGTGAATGGGTGGTGTCAGACGGAACCGATCGGCAGACCATAGCGATGTGGCTCCTTCTGGAACACTTCCGACAGATGGCGTCTCTGAATCAACACTTGGCACAGGAATGGTTGCCTCTGCACCCGGCACATTCCGATTGGCCCTTGGACTTCTGTTGGAACTTCCCGCGCTCCCCCTTTGTCTGGTGCACGTCATCATCTTCACTGGAGGATGCCTCATCACTGCTGGCCTCTTCATGATGCACTGGAACTGTCTTCCTAGCAAGACGCGGGCTGCTGGCCTTGCGGATCTCCTGGGCGGAGCGTTCAGCAGCTTCCGAGGCCACAGCCTCCTCAATGGCTTTCTGCACTGTGAGGTCTGGCTTGGCGAGGAGACACCATTGCAGACGGATGTCCTGGACCCCAAAGACGATTCAATCCATCAGGGCATCGTCTAAGTCTCGGAACTCGCAGTGCAGCGCGGCCTTCCAGAGGGCGGCAGTGTAGTTGTTAATTGACTCCCCCTCTGCCTTGTTCTGGTGGTAGAACGCATGGCGGGCAGCAATCTTGGATGGCTTAGGCGCATAGTGGTTGTGGAGCTTCTCTTGAATCGTGTCCCACAGTGTTGCCTGGACTGCTACAGGCGCAACCAATGCTCGGGCCGTCTCGAACACCTCAGGCCCACAGAGGCTGAGGAATAGGCCCCGCTTACGCTCCAGTGATACTTACGTCAGCTCGTTGGCTTGGAGGTAGCAGTCGAACTGAGTGAGGTAGGAGTCCCATGATTCAGAGGCTGGCGCAAACGGCGGTAGAGGCACAAGTGAAGCCATGGTTCTGATGCCGATGTGGAGGCGATGGATGGAACACCGTGCTCTAGCCAGAACGGTCAGCTCTGAATTGGTTCTGTTTCAGTGATTTCACTCGGTGTTTCAGCTCAATGATTCAGCTCCACTCAGAGGGTTGCCGCATCTGGCTGTGCTCTGATGTCCATCGATCCCACCTTCGTCACTAGTGTTAAGTTGTGTGTGAACATATCAGACGACACAGCAATTCTTCAAACAGCCCTTGTTTATTCACAGACCAGAACAGGACTGAACTGAAGGGTTCAGCCAGCCTGCTTATATAGAGCTCCACTAGAACGCAACAGTAACCATTTTCTGTAACTATCCAATCACTGAACGTCACTTTCAATCCCTTATTTGCATATGTGGACCTGAACTATCTACAGTATCCCCCTGCTGGTCCAGGGTGAGAACTTCAGTACATAACAATAGCCATTCTTTACGCTTCCTTGCAGGTACAGTAATTTTGCCAGAACATGAACATTCCATTCGCTCTTTGATCAGCACAGTTCATTAATAACAGCATCCATTTTGTGTGGCATTCTTCAGCCCTCTCTCATCAGCCATCTTGCAGCCCATTCAAAACATGGCATTCATTACAAAATATGCTTAGAAGAAAATATGTTTGACCTTAGCATGCACATATAAAACAGCTTTTAATTTATTGCACTGAATTTATTGCACAGCAAGTACACTGAAATACCAGATGTCTTTAGATCTTAATTGGCACATGTAGTTGTTATTTTTGCTGATTAGACGTTTCTCATCTTTGCAGAATGAATGGCTGTAATATGGGTTTTGTGTTATGCTACCAGGAACAGAGAACTCTTTTGAGCCAGCACAATTATTGTTGGTACTCTGAGAATTTTACTTACTTATTGTCAGATGACAGTGGTGGTTGCTCGTGAGTAACCAGGCAGGACTCCGACCTGTCTTTTACAGGGGTTTTTTGGTGCAAAACTATTTACAGTGCGGAACCACAAGTTCATGTCTTCCTCAATTGCTAGCAGAATCTGGGAGTGGTCCCTTCTGGGTTCTCCCCCAACATAAGAACTTAGTCACCCCCAGCTGTTTACTTCCTTCTTTGCGCTTTACCCCTCTGCGCAAGGTGGGTGATGGAAGAGGCATGTTTCCCTCCTGGCTGGCCTGGCAAGGAGCAGTGCTGGGACTCCCAGCAGCATCGTCTAGCCCTTTCCCCTCCTTTACCCTCGAGGTGTGGCTTTCCCCACCCTCAGACTGATGAGGTGCGGTGCTGGGGCTCTCAGCATCCTCCTCTGGTCCCTTCCCCTCTTCCCCACTGGAGGTGTGGCTTTCCTCAACCGCAGGAAGAGGAACTGCTTTGCAAGATTTTTGGAGGTTCCCTGTATCCCAACGGCCCCTCTGCCTCCCTTCCCTGTTCCGATGGCAGTCCCCTGACACTTATTACTAGGACTATCCCCCTGAAGCATTTTGTAATGAAGCTAATCAAATACATTTAGCTCACTGGCTAAAAACAGTTTGTGGGGTAGAGATATTTCAGAGGAAACATTTGTATTTCTGCTCACCTGAACCACTTGAGGGCCATGTTCCACATAGGCTTCCTTTGGGAGGCAGGGTTCTTGGAAATGTTCTCTACCATTTTAATCTGATTTGCATTCCTCCTCATAATGGACATATAAAAAGGTAAGGGTACCCCTGACCATTAGGTCCAGTCGCGGATGATTCTGGGGTTGCATGCTCATCTCACTCTATAGGCCAAGGGAGCTGGCATTTGTCCTCAGACAGCTTCCAGGTCGTGTGGACAGCATGACTAAGCCACTTCTGGCGAACCAGAGCAGTGCACAGAAACGCTGTTTACCTTCCTGCCAGAGAACTACCTATTTATCTACTTGCACTTTTACGTGCTTTCGAACTGCTAGGTGGGCAGAAGCTGGGACCGAACAACGGGAGCTCACCCCATTGCGGGGATTCGAACCGCCGACCTTCTGATCAGCAAGCCCTAGGCTCTCTGGTTTGCTAAATTTGCTTTCCAAAGTCACAAATGTTGGTGAAGGAAAAAATAATATAGGTATAAAGGACAATTATTGGATGCCAAGATCCTAGTTGAGAGAACCCAAGCAGAGAATTAGAATCCTAAAACATGCAGCAAAGAAAAGCATGGAAATATAAGCTGTAAAACCTTAGAATGTGTCCTTCAAGGTGAATTCCAACGTTTCTCTCTTCTCCCAGCATAGGGAAAAACCACAATTTTGGCAAGTTTAAAATGGTTTACTTACAAATTCCCCATAGGTCAGATTAATGTGCTTCAGAAAAGGTTGCACAGGAAGTAAACCTTGGCTTAATGGTGAAAGTTCCTGAATTATTGGTACAGGAACTCAAGAATGGCTGGTCTGAGCTGCAGCAACCAACTCAAATGTCTCCATATGGGGAGCTTCTCAGGTTGACTAAAGGTACCACAATAGGCTTGATTACGTTGCTCCCAAGGTAAGGGAAGTGGACATAGCTAAGCCTGGCAGGACAGCTTACTCTATGACATTAACCCTTTAATGCATTAAGGTATATGAAGACGAGCAGCAAAGTCAGTCCTCAGGGAATGTGCAGGTGACCTTGGAACAGACAGCTCACGGAAGAACCCCGACCAAACCTAAGGGGAGACGTGTAGTGGTGATAGGGGATTCCCTACTGAGGGGAACAGAAGCAGTGATCTGTGGGCCTGACAAGATGTCTCGGGAGGTGTGCTGTCTCCCCGGGGCAAAGATCTAAGATGTAACTGAACGACTGCAAGGAATCATAAAACCCACTGACAAATACCCCTTCCTCTTGGTTCATGTGGGAACCAATGACACTGCAAGCAATAGCCTCTAGAAGACCAAAGAGACTACGAGGCTCTGGGCAGCAAATTGTCATCTCATCTGTCCTCCCAGTTGAACTACGTGGCCCAGGGAGAGAGGGAAAAATAGTGGAAGTGAACAGCTGGCTTCGCAAATGGTGTAAACAGGAATGGTTGGATTCTTAGATCACGGACTGCAATTTCTTGAAGATGGACTTCTGGCAAGCTATGGGCTGCACCTCACAACAGTTGGGAGGAATGTTTTTGCCAAAAATCTCAGAAACCTCATCAGGAGGGCTTTAAACTGACTAATGTGGGGGAGGGAGACAGTGCTCCTGAAGGTAGGAGTCTATCAATTGATGAAGATGATCATCCAAATGTCATAGACCAAATGGAGCAAACAGCACGCAGACCTAGTGGTGGGAGGAAAAAATCCTTAAATAAGAGACACGGGGAATGATTAATGGACTTCAATGTCTGTACACTAATGCACAAAGCATGGGAAATAAACAAGATGAGCTTGAGCTCTTGGTACAGCAAACTAAATATGACATAATAGGCATCACTGAAACCTGGTGGGATAAGTCCCACGATTGGAATGTAATAATGGAGGGATACAATCTATTTCAGAGAAACAGACCAGACAAGAAAGGAGGAGGAGTGGCGTTATATGTCAGGGATGTGTATACCTGTGAAGAGATCCAAGATTTAGAACCTCAAAGCCAAAGTGAGAGCATTTGGGTCAGAATTAAGGGAGAGAAGAATAACAGAGACCTCATTGTGGGAGTTTACTATAGATCCCCAAGCCAAACGGAGGACATAGATGATACCTTCCTGGAACAGATGGCCAAGCATGCAAAAGGAAGGGAGAAAGTAGTAATGGGGGACTTCAATTACCCGGATATTTGTTGGATGTCAAACTCAGCCAAGAGCATAAGGTCAAACAGATTCCTCACTGGCCTTGCAGACAACTTCATTGTCCAGAAAGTGGGAGAAGCAACAAGAGGAACAGCCATTTTAGATCTGGTCCTAACCAATGTTGATGACCTGGTTAGTGGGGTAGAAGTGGAAGAATCATTGGCGCGAGTGATCATGCTCTTCTGAAGTTTACTATACAGCGGAAAGGAGCAGCCAAGCATACTAGGACTCAATTTCTTGACTTTAAGAAAGCCGACTTCATAAAACTTAGGGAAGTGCTGGGTGAGATCCCATGGACAGTAATACTAAAAGGAAAGGGAGTTCATGATGGCTGGGAGTTTGTTAAGAGGGAGATAGTAAAAGCACAACTTCAGGCAATACCAATGAGACGGAAACATGGAAGGTGCCTAAAGAAGCATGGGTGGCTATCTAAAGAACTTTTAACTGAGTTAAGATTAAAAAGGATGTGTACAAAAATGGAAAAGGGGAAACCACCAAAGAGGAATTCAAACAAATAGCCAGCACATGTAGACACAAAGTCAGAAAAGCTAAAGCACAGAATGAACTCAGGCTTGCTAGAGAGGTTAAAAGCAACAAAAAAGGCTTTTATGGGTATGTCCGTAGCAAAAGGAAGAACAAAGAAATAGTGGGGTCACTCAGAGGAGAAGATGGTGAAATGCAAACAGGGGACACAGAAAGGGCTGAACTCCTCAATGCCTTCTTTGCCTCAGTCTTCTCCGATAAAGAAAACAATGCCCGACCTGAAGAATTTGGAGCAAATGATTCAGCAGAGGAAACACAGCCCAGAATAACTAGGGAGATAGTACAAGAATACTTGGCTAGTTTAGATGTATTCAAGTCTCCAGGGCCAGACGAACTGCATCCAAGAGTATTAAAAGAACTGGCAGATGTGATCTCAGAACCACTGCCAGTCATCTTTGAGAATTCCTGGAGAACAGGCGAAGTCCCGGCAGACTGGAGGAAGGCAAATGTTTTCCCTATTTTCAAAAAGGGGAAAAGAGAGGACCCAAATAATTATCGCCCAGTCAGTCTGACATCAATACCAGGGAAGATTCTGGAGCAGATCATTAAGCAAACAGTCTGTGAGCACCTAGAAAGGAATGCTGTGATCACCAATAGTCAGCATGGATTTCTGAAAAATAAGTCATGTCAGACTAACCTGATCTCGTTTTTTTGACAGAATTAGAAGCCTGGTAGATGAAGGGAACGCAGAGGATGTAGCCTACCTTGATTTCAGCAAGGCATTTGACAAGGTGCCCCATGATATTCTTGTAAAGAAGCTGGTAAAATGCAGTCTTGACTATGCTACCACTCAGTGGATTTGTAACTGGCTGACTGACCGAAGCCAAAGGGTGCTCATCAATGGTTCCGCTTCATCCTGGAGAAGAGTGACTAGTGGGGTTCCACAGGGTTCTGTCTTGGGCCCGGTCTTATTCAACATCTTTATCAACGACTTGGATGATGGACTCAAGGGCATCCTGATCAAATTTGCAGATGACACCAAACTGAGAGGGGTGGCTAACACCCCAGAGGACAGGATCACACTTCAAAACGACCTTGACAGATTAGAGAACTGGGCCAAAACAAACAAGATGAACTTTAACAGGGAGAAATGTAAAGTATTGCACTTGGGCAAAAAAAATGAGAGGCACAAATACAAGATGGTGGACACCTGACTTGAGAGCAGTACATGTGAAAAGGATCTAGGAGTCTTGGTTGACCACAAACTTGACATGAGCCAACAGTGTGACGTGGCAGCTAAAAAAGCCAATGCAATTCTGGGCTGCATCAATAGGAGTATAGCATCTAGATCAAGGGAAGTAATAGTGCCACTGTATTCTGCTCTGGTCAGACCTCACCTGGAGTACTGTGTCCAGTTCTGGGCACCACAGTTCAAGAAGGACACTGACAAACTGGAACGTGTCCAGAGGAGGGCAACCAAAATGGTCAAAGGCCTGGAAACGATGCCTTATGAGGAACGGCTAAGGGAGCTGGGCATGTTTAGCCTGGAGAAGAGGAGGTTAAGGGGTGATATGATAGCCATGTTCAAATATATAAAAGGATGTCATATAGAGGAGGGAGAAAGGTTGTTTTCTGCTGCTCCAGAGAAGTGGACACGGAGCAGTGGATCCAAACTACAAGAAAGAAGATTCCACCTAAACATTAGGAAGCACTTCCTGACAGTAAGAGCTGTTCGACAGTGGAATTGGCTGCCAAGGAGTGTGGTGGAGTCTCCTTCTTTGGAGGTCTTTAAGCAGAGGCTTGACAACCATATGTCAGGAGTGCTCTGGTGGTGTTTCCTGCTTGGCAGGGGGTTGGACTCGATGGCCCTTGTGGTCTCTTCCAAATCTATGATTCTATTCTATGATTCTATGATTAATTAGATTTAAGCATGTTGGTTATATGCAGCTGGTTATCCCACAACAAGCAATGGTGCTTCCTACTCTTCCTACCTTTAAATCCCTCCCCCACCACCTGCAGTTGCCGCAGCTTGAACCCCAGACCATCTAAGTCATCATCTGTATACTCATGTTCCTTATTCTTGCAAGTGCATGTTGGAGAGTAGCAATAATGTGCCACTATGAATCTGAAACATGAGGAAGACTGACTTGTTTCAGGAATTAAAAAATTGTCCAAACACTTGTTAAATATTCAAAGGCTTCAGAACAGATGATAAAAGATCTGTTTAGAAAACAGTCAAAGCCTAGGCTCAACTTCATTTAGGTTTATGACAGATTCTTGCAGTTAAATCGATCAATCCGTGTCTCTTCCTCTGTCCAGCCTGTCCTGGGCCTGCCCTTTCCTCTAGGCCTTGCAGATGCTTGAAGAGGTTGCTGTCTCTTACAGTCATCTCTCTGCTTCTCTTTCGGAGAGGACAACCAGTTCCTGCTCAGCTTTCTCCCTCATTCACTTAGAGAGAGCGCTTGCATTCACACTGCTCCCCCTGCAGCGTTCAGTGAGATTCTAGTACTGCTCAGTGTTAATGGAGATTCCTGCTGGTCACTCCTTCACTAAATAGAGACCATAAATGGGTACCTCTCATGTGTTAACCAACCAGAAGAGAACTACTGGAGAACATACTTGAATCAGCTATTTACCAATTAAAGCTCAATGTGCTTTCATTAAACACGCAGCATTATACATTAAAACATTCTTATTTCAGTAAATTAAACTACTATGCTCAACTGTGCACAAGTGAGTTTGTCCGCCTTTTCCTTGGAACTGATTCCATTGTGCAAGCAGAGCTACCACTCTGAACCTGAGCAGGAAGGGAAGGGAGCTGAGTTGAGTATGAGAACCTGCAGCTTTTCATCTGCAAGAGAACTCACCCAAATGCCTCCCTCTAGGACCTGCCATGGGGAATAGGACTGGTTTCCCCTGCTTTGGAGGAGAAGGTATTGGGTTTGGGATGTCACCAGTCATTATACCAGTCCCTATCCTTAACTCACAACAAATATGCATGCTTAGCAACCCATGCCAGGGGTGAGGTAAGAAGCCTCAGAAGTGTGAGGATTGCTGTCATGACTACTGATGTCACAAAGGCTCAGCTTTTTCCTTCTGGAAAATGAAACGCAAGATGTGCTACAGCTAAAATGGGAAGAGGGGGAGGCCTGGGCCTGAGAGTTAGCAGTGTCAGAGGTTCCTAGGCAAAGGGAGGGGGGAGATTTAAAGGAGAGAAAGGTGAAGCTGAGAGTGGCACATTGACACCTTCCACTAAAGCAGTATTTGCATGTTTCTGCTGCCACATCCACACAGGTTTAAGGGGGACCTCAGCAAAGCTCCTTCCTTGGGAACAGGCAGCATCCCCTGATGGAGCCACCATTTAAATCTCTCACAATAACGGTGTTTAATTCTAGGGCAGTGTGGGAAATTGAAGTGGTGCCAACTGGGAGCAGAGCTGTGTTGGGAGCATTGAAAAGATTAAAATGGCAGCTCCCTGACTCAGCTGCCCATTCCTCATCATATTTGAGTGCCAGATGAAGCCAAATGCAGGGAAGAGGTTAGTGGTGGATCCTGCCAGGGCCTTTATGCATGTCCTATTTGGTGGGCATTTTCTTATTAATCTAATAAAAAGACCAGTAAAATGCAATTAACAGTGCAATCTTCAGAGCACTTCTCCCACACATTGGTCCACTAAATGTTGTAACCCTGTGCAGTAGGCTGGTGACTATGAAAAGCAATGTCATTCCACACAGAGCTACATCGGATTCTGCGTGTGAGGCAAACTTGTGGTGGAACTTGAATATGTTTCTGAAGCTGCCATGTTATGTATGATTGTTCACCAGGCTCTCAATAAAACTCATACTTTGCTATAGGCTCTGTCTGGCCTGGCAGGTTGACATGCACAGGGTAGCCCCTGTGGGTGGGTGAATTCTTTTTGACAAGAGTGGGGGTGGTCTGGGGAAAGTGCCACAGGTCAGGTAACCTAAGCAACCTCACAGGGTTGTTTGGAAGATAAAATGGAGAGGAGGAAAACTGCGTGCACCACCTTGTGCTCCTAGGAAGAAAGGTGGTATATAAATGCACCAAATGCAAAAACTGAAAATAAGCTCAATGTTCTCCAAATTCCTGTGTGAGTGTGGTGCAGGTAAAGGTAAAAGGTAAAGGACCCCTGGACAGTTAAGTCCAGTCAAAGGCAACTATGGGGTTGCGGCGCTCATCTCGCTTTCAGGCCGAGGGAGACGGCATTTGTCCACAGACAGCTTTTCTGGTTCATGTGGCCAGCAGGACTAAACCTCTTCTAGCGCAACAGGATACCATGGCGAAAACCAGAGCGCACAGAAACGCCGTTTACTGTCCTGCCACAGCAGTACCTATTTATCTACTTGCACTGACTTGCTTTTGAACTGCTAGGTTGGCAGGAGCAGGGACAGAGCAACAGGAGCTCACCTTCCAGTTGGCACGCCCAAGAGGCTCAGTGGTTTAAACCGCAGTGCCACCCCTGTCCCTTTGAGTGTGGTGCACTATTAATCATGTAACATCTAGTATCAACTAACTGCATTGCTCCGTTTCAGTCACTTCTGAAGTTCCTTGTGTTTAACTCCATTTTTAAAAAACTGGCTGAAAGAGATTCAATGACATCATTGAATTAACTAAGTCTTTCTCCCACTCACCAGTCCAGCCAGAGTTCTGTATATACAGATGGTATAAATGAGCCAAAAGCATACCAAATTTTGCACATCCCACACTTCTTGTATTCCAAATAGACAAAAGGTTCTGCAGTATAATCTGTGTTGCAAGCCCATTTAAAAAACATTTTACCTGTTTTTTTTCCCTTCGCTTTTAGGTCAATCCTTTATTGCTTATGGCCTTGGCAAAAATTCAGACAATCTCATAAATATACAGCAAATCATGTTTGCATACAAAAAACACTGAAGGTGCTATAAAGCCCAGCAAAGAAAAGACCCAGAATCAATATGAGTTTCTGATGCTTTCAAATGCCATAACACTGGTTTCTGAGTAACTGATCCTTAGATTTTCGTTTTGTACAACATTCATCAATCCAACACAATTTCCTTTTCAGCCCTACATGTGTAAAAGAATGTGTAAAAACTATTTCATCTGCATTTAAAATAAATCTTAAGAGGGCCAACTAAACCGGGAAAGAATCGGCCACCAACTCTTGAACAATACCAACAGTCACTGGGGGATCCAATGATACCTTTGTCATACTGGATGCTTTTGATGTTACTGATGTTATTAGCAACTCAGACTATCTTAATATTTCCACCTTAAGGTTACAGTCACAGTAAGTCTTATCTCACAGGAAATTATTTTCCCATGGCTGGATTAATGGCCAATTTATTTTCAATTCATTGAAAGCAGCTCTTACAAGTTTTCTTATTGTAAATTTTCATTAGCAGATAGAGACATCCCACTAATTTACAGCTTTTCTTGTCCAAGATGTATTTAAGAAAGAGAGGGCACGAATCTTATTACCTACAAAAGGCTGTTACGTGGCATTTGGGCATGATGTCAGCTTGCCATCTTGTTCTAGCCCCAATACAAGCCCCCAGGTGCAGACAGCAGAGAACAGCCTTGATCAAAGCCTTTGAGGTTACTCCAATTTGACCGCACTTATCTTCCAGAGTGATTTAATAGTAAGATGTTCTGTCTGACTATTGTCAATCACCACAAAATTATATTCTATCACTGGAACTGATAGAGAAATGGTCTGTCTGCCATTCCTTTTGCTGGAGGTTTTCTTGACCTAGCTGCTTTAAATGAATTCAAATCTCCAGAGCCTGATGAGATGCATGCAAGAGTACTAAAGGAGCTTGCAGATGTAATCCCGGAGTCTCTGTTTATAATCTTTGAGAATTCTTGGAGAACAGGTGAGGTCCCTGCAGACTGGAAGTGAACAAATGTTGTCCCCATCTTCAAAAGCAGGAGGAGAGAGAAAACCCAAGTATCTACCAACCAATCACCAGAAAAGGTTCTAGAACAAATAATTAAATGATATGTCTGTAAGCACTTAGAAAAGGATGCTGTGCTTACTAAGACCTAGCATGGGTTTTCTGCATGCCACATAAAGCTCATTTCTTTTTTTAATGGAGTTACAATACAAGCTTGGTGGATATGGGGAATGCTGTGGACATAGTGCATCTTGATTTTAGTAAGGCTTTTGATGAAGCCTCCTCCCCATTATATTATTGCAGAGAAGCTGGTAAGATGTGGGCTGGGTGTGGTCACTGTTAGGTGGTTGACTGACCCAACTAAAAGAGTGCTAACTAATGATTGGTCATCATCCTGGAAAAAAGTGATAAGTGGGGTGTCGCAGGGTTCTTTCCTGGGGTGGTTGTTGTTCAGTGAAGGAATTGAGGGGATATTCATCAGATTTACAGATGACAGGAAACTGGGAGGAGTAGCTAATGCTACAGAAGACAGAATTCAAGATGACGTTAACATATTGGAGAAGTGGGCCAAGAATGAATTGCAATGTGAGGAAATGTAATGTTCTGCACTTAGGCAGGAAAAACCAGTTGCACGAATCTGAGATGCTGGACACCTAGCTTCTCAGTAGTACATGTGAAAAGGATCTAGAGGTCTTAGTAGGCTACAAGCTTAACATGAGTCAACAGTGTGATGCAGCAGCAAAAAACAACAACAACTAATGGTATTCTAGGCTGCATCAACAGAAATATTGTGTTCAGATCAAGGGAAACAATAGTAGACCACACCTGGAATACTGTGTCAAGTTCTGGGCACCACAATTTAAGGAGAATGTTAATGTGTGCAGAGTAGGGCAGCCAATATGATCAAAGGTCAGGGAACATAGGTTTATGAGGAATATTTGAGTTGGGTATATTTAGCCAGAAAAGGAGGATACTGAGAGGAGATATGATAGCCATATTCCAATCTCTAAAGGGATGTCACATGGATAGATGCAAACAACTAACAGCCTAATATCCAGATCAGTATAATGTAGGACCTAAACCAATGGCTTAAATTTATAAGAAAGGAAATGGTGGTGGTGATAATTATTAACAACAACAACAACAACATTTTTATACCCCACCCATCTGGCTGGGTTATGCCAACAAAATATAAAGGGACAAAAGAAAACATCAATCATTAAAAGCTTCCTGAAACGGGGCTGCCATTAGATGTCTACAAATGTCATATAATTGTTTAACTCTTTGACATGTGACAGTAGGGTGTTCCACAGGGTGGGCACAACTACCAACCAGGAATAACTTTCTGACAATAAGAGCTTTTTGACACTACCCTTGGGAAGTGGTAAACTCTCCTTCTCTGGAGGTTTTTTGGAAGGATGGATGGCCATCTGCCAAGGATGCTTTTAAGCTGCGATTCCTGCATTGCATTGTAGGGGGTTGGACTAGATGATCCTTGAGGAATCTTCCAACTCTACAATTCTATAATTCTATGGAGTATTTGTATTTAATCTGAAGAGAAGACATTGTGGTGGAGTGTCAAGCTGCCAGAAAAGCCCATCCTTCTGTGGTTCAACGCTGTAAGCAGAAACAGGCACGGCTTGACAGTAATTAACTTTATTGCCCAGTAACCAAGGAGACAGCTCATGGCACATCCATCAGCTAAGCAAGTCAGTTGCAGAAGCTAAAGTTCCATCCTCTCTTCCCCCTTGTTTATACCTCCCTCCGTGCTTTGCTCACTGTGACTCGGCTTTTCTTAATTGTTCTAGCCTGTCAGCGAAGCTCAGATGCTGACAAGAGAAGAAGAAGCAGGCATACAGAGAGAACAGTTAACAGCAGAAGGCAGAGAGTAGGGGGAGAGCAGTTGTAATCTGAGCTCTGAACAAAGGGGAGAAGAAAAACAGGGCCAGAGTGACAGGCAGCTGTGTGAGAACTCCAATAGTGAGTCAGACATTGGAATGCAGGAAGCATTCTCTCCCAAATCTCGTAGGATCTCAAAAGTGGCCAAGATGCGCGAAAGATACCGGAAGAGAAGGTGGGGGCTTCAGTGCTGCAACTCCATCTTCTGAGGAGGAGGATGAGTAGAGGAGCTCTGTCCTTGTTTGTTGTTTTAGCAATAAATCTGAAATAATTAACAGCCAGAGTTGTCTCACGTTTGTGGGAGAGACCAAGCCATAACAGATTGCCCAGACTGAACTTCTCTCATGCCGGAGGCCAACAGAGAACGTGATGGAAAGCCAAGTGCTGAACTTGGGGAATGCAGCTGCCTGGCGACATTTCCTAGAGGGGGCACAGCACCAAGTTGAGGTGCGCACGGACCACAAGAACTTGGAATACTGGCAAACGGTGAGACAACTAAACCATAGACAAATCAGATGGGCACAGTTTTTTGCTGGTTTCAACTTCTGCATACCGTGTGCCAGGGCATCTAAACCAAAGGGCAGACGCCTTGTCTTGGAAACTGGAACACTTGGAAGGAGAACAAAAACGAGAGTTGAGACACTTTCTGAAACCAGAACAGTTGCAACTGGCAGCGGCACCTGTTGTCAGAGTAGAAGACTTTAAACAACAAACAGAAAGAGATGAATTTGCGCTGCAGAAGCTGGCAGTGGTACAGAGAGGAGAGAACAACGCAGAGAGTTTCCATGAAAAGGGAAGTCTGTTGTTCAAGGGCAAGGCACTCTATGTGCCAGAAGCAGACTCACAGGCAAGAGTAATGCGGCAGTGTCACAACAACTCAACCATGGGCCATTTTGGACATTACAAGACCGTAGATCAACTCAAGAGATGGTTTTGGTGGCCAAGAATGAGGGAAGAAGCAAAGGACTATGTGAGGGCATGTGACACTTGTCAACAAGTGAAAATGCCTAGGGAAGCGCCCACAGACTGTTACAGCTGCTTCCAACTCTGCAAGGACCTTGGGAGGAGATTGTGATGGACTTTATTACGGACTTGCCAGCCTTGCAGAAACAGACAGTAGTCTGGGTAGTGGTGGACTTGTTCATGAAAATGGCGCACTTTGTGCCATGCCCAAAGTTGCCATCGGCACAGGAAGCAGCCCAGATGTTTGTTGATCATGTGTTCAAGCTGCACGGCTTGCCGTTGCGATTGATTTCGGATAGAGGGAGACAGTTTACATCACGATTTTGGAGGAAATTGATGCAGCTTTTGGAGGTAGAGGTGTGCCTGACCTCTGCAAGACACCCACAAACCAACGGAGAGTCAGAGAGAACCAATGCGACATTACAGCAATATCTGAGTTGCTATGTGAACTATCAGCAAGAGGACTGGGTGGACAAACTGGGACCAACTGAGTTCGCGTATAACAACGCGGTGCATGCGTCCACCCAACATACACCATTCCTAGCCAACTACGGAAGACATCCAAGAGCGTTTCTGGAGCCGTGGAGCACCTTGTCGGTGCCAGCAGCGGAGCAGTTGGTGGGAGAGATGCAGGCAATACAAGAACTACTGAGAGAGAACCTGGAAGCGGCTAAAACCACGTACAAGAGAAGTGCCAGTGAGCATAGATGGCAGGGAGAGGAGATCAAGGTGGGGGATAAGATGTGGTTGTCAGCAAAGGACTTACCAGCTAAAGGGAGGTGCAGGAAGTTAGAAGCATGGCGGTTGGGACCATTTGAAGTGGTAGAGCAGATAAATCTAGTAACATTCAAACTGCCTGACTCAATGAGAATACATCCTGTATTCCATAGGGCTCTCCTATCACCATACGTTCCTGCTCACCACTATCAGGAACCTAAGCAGGCACCTCCTCCCCCAGTTGTGGTAGAAGATCAAGAGGACTCTGAGGTCCAACAAATCTTGGATTCAAGAGTGTGTAGAAGGCAGTTGCAGTATTTAGTGTCCTTGAAGGGTTATGGTCCTGAGGAAAACTCCTGGGTATGAGGTCAGGATTTTTCATGCCCCAGACTTGCAGAGACAGTTCCACCATAGGTATCCTCGCAAACCCAAATCCCGATGGTGGATGGAGGAGATCGAGCTCAGCGACGAAGAAGCTGAGGAGAGTGAAGCATGGTGGGAACTGGCATCAAGAGAGCCCTCTGTAATTGGCAGTGGCGCCGAGGAGGAGGAGGAAGAGGGGCTTAGAGGAGAGGGTGATGTCAGCAAAGCTCAGATGCTGACAGGAGAAGAAGAAGCAGCAGGCATACAGAGAGAACAGTTAACAGCGGAAGGCAGAGAGGAGGGGGAGAGCAGTTGTAATCTGAGCTCTGAACAAAGGGGAGAAGAAAAACAGGGCCAGAGTGACAGACAGCTGTGTGAGAGCTCCAATAGTGAGTCAGACGTGTAGGACCTCAAAAGTGGTTGAGAAGCGTGAAAGATACCAGAAGAAAAGGTGGGTGGTTCTGTTCTGGGGAAGGGGGAGGAGCTCAGTCTGGGCAACTCTCATCTTCTGGCAAAGACGATGAGTAGAGGAGCTCTGTCCTTGTTTGTTGTTTTAGCAAAAATCTGAAATAATTAACAGCCAGAGTTGTCTCACGTTTGTGGGAGAGACCAAGCCATACCATAGCCTTTTCTCGACTCTTCTTTCCTGCACTGAAAGTGGGAAGGGGAAGGAGCTGAATCAGGACTATACTGCAGGCAGGAGAAATCTCCCCTGCTCCTTCTCTTTCAGTGTCTGTGGCTTCCTCCTCCCTCTCGGATGATGATTCCTCCCTGGCTCCTTCCTCCTGGTCCCCTTCCCCCTCAGGTGTCTCCTGGTCCACCGGCTGCCACCACTCTTCCTCATCCAGCCATTCCCTGACATGGAGTGTTTGTAGCAGATACATTTTTAAAAAATTGTTCCTGGTTGCTTGGTACTATTTTTTAACTTTTAATTTCTGTGGTTGTTCTGCTTAGTTGATTCATGTCCATCAGTCTTTAGGATTCACAGCAACAGCCTATGCATGCTTACTCAGAAGTCAGTCTCACTAAGTTCAATTGGCTTTACTCACAGCTGAGTCTGGATGGGGTTGCAGACCTAGCTGTCTTCCCAGGGACTCTGTAAAATTAATCTCATGACTGGGCATTGGATGCATCATATTTCTGTGTGTATGTTTACTGATGTGTTCACACTTCATGACACCATGCAATGCAAGGGTGGTAATTTTGCATACTAGGGTAGGGTGGCTTATTTTGAACTGTATATTGTAATGCAATCATCCCATTTATCTTTTGGAGATAAGGGTGTTGTACATGATTCCTTTCCCTGCACATTTTTTGCTACCAACGATCCTGTGAGGCAGGGTGGGTTGAGAGGTTGTAACTTCCTGACAGTAAGAGCTGTTCGACAGTGGAATTTGCTGCCAAGGAGTGTGGTGGAGTCTCCTTCTTTGGAGGTCTTTAAGCAGAGGCTTGACAACCATATGTCAGGAGTGCTCTGATGGTGTTTCCTGCTTGGCAGGGGGTTGGACTCGATGGCCCTTGTGGTCTCTTCCAACTCTATGATTCTATGATTCTATTCTATGAATTGGCTCAAGGTGGCCATTTCAGCTTTATGGGGAAGGTGGGATTTGAACCTGAGATCTGAGTGCGATGCTAAGTGCATTGGGCAGGCAGGTCAGGGGCAATGTGGAGCTCACATGATTCTTGGTATAGACCACCACCCCCAACCCACCCCGCAAACCCTAGAAATTAATAAATGGTAGGATTTTGATTATTTAGAGTACTAAAGGGAAAATTTCCAGCCCATGGAAAAATAATGTTGTCGACAAAAGTCCCATTGAACCAGGGTGAACGTAGTCAATGAACAGACTGGGATGGAAAGCTCAGAGTGTTTTTCAGCCATGGCAGAAGGTGCAGCTTAGGTTTATACCCAAAGAATCCGTGCAACTCTGAGAAGCACATGGCGAATATTCAGTGCTATTTTTCAAGAAAAAAGGTGACGGCATTCCCCATGAATGCCTCCCTTGTTCTCTTATAATGGCAGGCACCCACCCGAGAAGTGCCTGAGTTCTGGCAAGTTCTGGCTGAAAAATGCCCTGCAAATACCTATACCATTCCAGTACACCATTACACATGAAGAACACATGATCATGACTACACATAGCATTAAGCACAGACATAGTTTCAACAGAAAACCTTGTGGTCAGTCTTCAGGTTTGGGGGCTTAGTTCCTAAAAAAACAGGTTTTAGTAGGTCCTAGGTTCACTCTCTGACGCTCCCTCCTGACAAACTTCCCACCTCAAAGTCTGTCACAAGTGGGTAGATTCTTGGGGAAAGGAGGGCTTCCCCACAGAGCTTCTTGCCTCAGGTGCCAAAAAGTCTACTAACATAGCACATTCAAATATACACACCCACTCATGAGGGGCTAAGACTCACTGAGCTCAATCAGATTTACCTCTAAGTAAACATATTGCAGAGATACATATATGAACCTGCACTTGCATACTGAGCAATTCAGTATGAGCAATGTTTCCCCCCAGAGGACACCAGGAAAATCTAGCTATCAAACTGAAATTATTTGTGTGAAAACATTGTATATTTTATTGGGATAAACCAATGTGAAAATGTAGTGATTTTGGATTGTTTATATGAGTAGAGGAGGCCTTTAAAGATTTAGTATAACGGTGATTATTGCAATGACTTTTATGTCCTAAACTGTAATGGGCAATCAAATATAAACATGCAAATAAATTCTGAAGTTATTATCTGCCAAGAAGAAACTAATCAAATAATCTTTTTTTTTTTTTGCCAGCACAAGTACTCCAAAGAACTTGGAAACGAGATATTTATCATTTGCCAATCAGTGACTACCCTCTCTAAGATCAGAATTAGCCGTTGTACTATTTATAGAGAGCCAGTGAGTGCCATTTAGTTCAGCTCAGAGAACACAATTTAATAAACATTAATGAGGTATTTCAAGAACGCTGGCTGTGGTTCCCATGAAGGGCAGACAGCTTGACTTGGGATTTACCTTCACACTTAACAAAGACCAAATAAAACAAGTTGCAATTAGAAGTAAGATAATGGAGAAACTGGTATTACAGACTCTCCAAATGTCTATTTTCCAGAGACGTCCCTGATTTAGAGAAGCCATTCTACTTTATGATTTGATCCTGGAATGTCCCACTTTTCCTTAGAATGTCCCTATTTTCATCGGAGAAATGTTGGAAGGTATGGAGTTATCCAACCCCTGAGCCATCTAAAGGCAATCCTGTATAAGGAAGTGTTATGTACTGAGTTGAATAGGATCCAAACTGCAGCAGTCTGATTGGTCCTAGAACAATAGGATACAAAATGCAGCAGTCTGATTGGTCCTAGAACAATAGGATTCAGAATGCAGCAGTCTGATTGGTCCTAGAACAATGCAGCAGTATGATTGGTTGGCAGGAACCACCCAATCATGCTCCAGATAGAAGTGAATCCGCAACCTGATTGGCTTACAGTAGAATTCCAGAATTAGCCAATCATGTGCAGCCCATTGTGTAAATAATGTATATAAAGCAGATACTTTGAGGGGACATTCATTCATTCCTCCTCACCACTATGAGCTGAATAAAGAGCATGAAATCACTTTGCCCCTCTGAGTATATTTCACTGGCAACAAAGGTGGGATCCCGCTGAGCTGACTGCCACACACAGCACCACAGCACCACCACCTGCCACACCGCTGCCTTGCACCGTGTATCCAGGCTTCAGCTCCGGGACACAAGGAACTCAGAATGGCAACCGACAGCAGCTTCTCGCCATTCAACCCAGCATCTGGAGACTGGGAAGCATACGCCTCCTGTTTCACCTTCCTCCTAGAAGCCGAAGGGGTCACCGATGAAGAAGACGCCAAGAGGAGGGCGATATTCTTCAGCGTCTGCGGAGAGGAGACGATCAAAATCGCCCGGGCTCTCCTTGTGCCTGAAGACGTTGCTACTGTTCCTTACAAAACAATAATGGAACGGCTCAAGGGGCACTTTTCGCCGCAGCCCTCAGTGGTGGCTCGTCGAAATGCCTTCTACGCAAAGCGGCAAGCCCCTGGGAAAACCATAACTGGGTTTGTGACCTCTCTCCGCCAAGCCGCCCGGTTCTGCAACTTCTCAGAGCTGGAGAACATGCTTCGTGACCGCCTCGTCGGTGGCCTGAAGGATGAGAAGCTGCAACGACGCCTCTACGCTAAGAAGGACCTAATGTTCCAGGTCGCTCTGGAGGAGGCCCTGGCAACGGAAGCTGCCGAGAGGTCGACGCAAGAGGCACGGCCGAGCCTGCCGTCCCAACCAAGGGTCCACCACGAAGACCTCACCGACGACTCAGGATCCGACAGGGAGGAGGTGCACCGAGTACAGCAGCACACTCAAGCAGCCCACATACCACAGCTGCCTCGACGAGAAGGAGGGAACTGCACAAGCTGCGGGGAAAGTCACGAGAGGAGGACCTGCCGTTTCCGCAACGCAGAGTGCAGGCAGTGCAGAAAATTGGGACACATCGCCCGGGTGTGTCGAGCTCGGCTCACCCGACGCCAGGCATCAGATGACCGATCCAAGAACCCCAGGTCCCAGGGTCCAACGCACCAAGGCAACTCGACGGAGCTCACGGACTTCCAGGTATACCAGTTGCCCCACCCCAACGTAGAGAAAATTTATGTAGAGGTACAGATAGAGGGGGCCCCATGCCGCATGGAGATTGACACGGGTTCAACTCTATCCATAATCTCGGCAAGGACCTTAAGGAAACTGTGTCCTACTGGGGGTCCCAAACTCAGGCCGGCCCCATTCACCCTCCGGGACTTCCAGAAACGTAAGGTCCCCACAATGGGGGTGGGGACCTTCAGGGTGCAATACTGAGGGCGGACGCAGCAACTGGACTTGCTTGTGGTCAAGGGCCCCTACATTAGCTTTCTGGGATTGGCATGGTTTGGACCACTGGGGCTAGCCATCACCGGGGTGAACCACACTAGCTTACAAGTGGACATGGACGCGATATGCAAGGAATTTCCGGGAGTTTTCGATGGGAAATTGGTGCAGTATATGGGGCCCCCCCCATTGCTCTACAGCTTGACCCCACAGTACGACCGGTCAGGCTCAAGGCCCGCCGGGTCCCGTTCGCCCTGAAACCCATATAGACGAGGAATTGGACCGGCTCGTGGAGCAAGGAGTGCTGGAGCCGGTGCCTAATGCCCCCTGGGAAACCCCAATCGTCACACCCGTCAAGCCTAATGGTTCGGTCCGCATCTGCGCAGACTACAAATGTACCATAAACAAGGCCCTCACGGCCCATGCATACCCAGTGCCAGTGGTCAGCCATGTCCTTGCCACCCTGGCTGGGTCGAAATTTTTGGCAAGCTGGACTTGGCCCAAGCGTATCAACAGCTGCCAGTAGATGAGGCCACAGCAGAGGCACAGACGATTGTGACGCACAGAGGAGCGTTCAGGGTAAAGCGGCTGCAATTCGGTGTCAGTGTGGCACCAGGCATATTCCAGAATCTAATAGACTCTCTCCTGAAAGGGATTCCTGGCGTCACCCCCTTCTTCGATGATGTGTTGATTGCCGGGCCCACACCAGAGGAGTTTGAGGACCGCCTCCGCACTGTTCTGCACCGTTTCCAGACGGCGGGCCTCCAGGTGAAGCGGGAAAAATGTCTACTAGGAGTGCCTCAGGTGGACTTTCTGGGATTTATGGTGGACGCAGAAGGGGTCCACCCAACTGGGGACAAGGTACGGGCCATTTGTGATGCCCCAGCACCCAAGAGCAAGACTGAACTTCAGGCCGTCTTGGGACTATTGAACTTTTACCATTCCTTCCCCACAAGGCAGCGGTAACGGAGCCCCTACACAGACTCCTGGACAAGCGGGCCCCTTGGGTATGGGGCCAGCGCCAGGAGGCCGCATTCCAGGCAGTCAAGTACTTGCTTGTCTCAAACTTGGTCTTGGCACACTTCAACGAGAGGCTGCCGGTGGTGCTAGCATGCGACGCCTCGCCCTATGGCATTGGCGCTGTCCTGGGACACCAACTCCCGGATGGAAGAGAGGTACCGGTGGCATACTTTTCCCAGACACTCAACGCAACCGAACGGAACTACTCGCAAATCAACAAGGAGGGTCTGGCAATCGTGAAGGGAGTAAAAAAATTCCATGATTTCTTGTATGGGCGGCCCTTCACTGTGGTGACTGACCACAAGCCGTTGCATGGCTTGTTTGCCCCCGAAAAGCAGACCCCCCCAAGTGCTGTCTCCTCGCGTCCTCAGGTGGTCAATTTTCCTTGCCAGCTACCAGTATGCACTGATTCACCACCCGGGGAAGGTGATGGGCCATGCGGATGCCCTCAGCAGGCTACCACTACTGGAAACATGCCCCGACTCAGCACCTGCACAAGAGGTTATGAGCCTGGAGCTGCTTCCCGACCGCCCCATTCAGGCACAAGAAGTTGCACACCATTCCAAGAAAGATAGGGTCATCTCCCGGATCCTGGACTGGGTGTGGAGGGGATGGCCCAGCAGCAACCCCGGGCCAGAATTTGCCGGCTACACAACCCGCAAACATGAACTGTCGGCCCACAAGGGGTGCCTGTTATGGGGAAGCAGGGTCATTGTTCCCCAGCCCCTCCGCAAAAGGGTCTTCACAGCCCTACACGAGACACACCCAGGGGTAGTAAGAATGAAGGCCCTTGCCATGAGTTATGTGTGGTGGCCGGGGATCGAGGGAGAGATAGAGGCCTGGGTCAAACACTGCCAGGCCTGCCAAGAATCCCACCCAGATCCCCCAAGGGCCCCAGTCCAGTCCTGGGATTCCGCCCGAGCACCATGGTTACGCCTGCATGCGGACTTCGCTGGCCCCTTTCAGGGGAAAACATTCTTCATAGTGGTGGACTCCTACACCAAATGGCTGGAAGTCGCACTGGTACTGTCCACTTCTACGTCTGCAGCCATCCAGGTACTACGCAGGCTGTTTGCAACCCACGGGCTCCCTGACACTCTCATCTCAGACAATGGGACTGCATTTACGTCAGGAGAATTCCAAACCTTCACAGCGCAGAACTCCATCCGCCACATCCGTTTGGCGCCATTCCACCCTGCCACCAATGGCCAAGCAGAACGCATGGTGCGGACCACCAAGGACACCCTTCGCCGCATGACGCAAGGGGATTGGGAGTGCCGCCTTGCCGCATTCCTTCTAGCACAGCACAGCACCCCCAGCTCAACGACTGGCCGGAGCCCCACTGAACTACTAATGGGTCGGCGCCTTGCAATCAGATTGGACCGCCTTCACCCCGATAGAGCTCAGGATGAGGTAGTGGTGGGGGAAGGCAGGAACCCCCTGACCTTCGAGGCCCAGGACCCAGTGTACGCAAAGAATTTTGGGGCAGGCCCAGCATGGGTACCCGCCACAGTCACCAGGGTCACTGGCCCCGTGTCGTACGAGGTGCTAATGGATGGGGGGCAATGCTGGCGCCGCCACTGCGACCAGATACGGCGATGATTCCCGGGAGAAAACCAGGAGGAGGACAGGTCAGAGGAGTCCCAAGGGAACAGTGGGGCAGTGAGGCCCATAGAGCAGGAGGGGCCAGCAGGAGAGGCAGAATCAGTAAATACAGAGAGGACCCACGAGGCCGAAAGGACACCGGAACCAGAACCACGACTGAGCGAGCTGGTTGCGCCAGACCAATCAGCCCCATCACAGCCAGCATCCTTGGAACATGAGCCAGAACCTGAACCCCGGACCAGGGAACACCCCAGGCCGCAACGCACACGTAGGCTGCCGGTGTACCTCGAGGACTATGAATGCAACCTCCCGGGCAGGACTGGAACTTAGAGGGGAGGGGTGTTATGTACTGAGTTGAATAGGATCGAAACTGCAGCAGTCTGATTGGTCCTAGAACAATGCAGCAGTATGATTGGTTGGCAGGAACCACCCAATCATGCTCCAGATAGAAGTGAATCCACAACCTGATTGGCTTACAGTAGAATTCCGAATTAGCCAATCATGTGCAGCCCATTGTGTAAATAATGTATATAAAGCAGATACTTTGAGGGGACATTCATTCATTCCTCCTCACCACTATGAGCTGAATAAAGAGCATGAAATCACTTTGCGACTCTGAGTATATTTCAGGAAGTTTAATTTTTTATTATGTTTTTATATGTGCTGGAAGTGTGGGGTAAAAATAGTAAATAGTAAAACTATCAAGGGACGTGGGTGGCTCTGTGGTCTAAATCACAGAGCCTAGGCCTTGCCGATCAGAAGGTCGGCGGTTCGAATCCCTGCAACGGGGTGAGCTCCCGTTGCTCAGTCACAGCTCCTGCCCACCTAGCAGTTTGAAAGCACATCAAGTGCAAGTAGATAAATAGGTACTGCTCCGGCAGGAAGGTAAACGGCGTTTCCGTGTGCTGATCTGGTTCGCCAGAAGTGGCTTAGTCATGCTGGCCACATGACCCGGAAGCTGTCTGTGGACAAACACTGGCTCCCTCGGCCTATAGAGCGAGATGAGCACCACAACCCCAGAGTCATCTGCGACTGGACCTAATGGTCAAGGGTACCTATACCTTTACCTTTAAAACTATCATTATGGAATGGGATGTCTCTCTTTTCATTGGAGAAATATTGGAGGGTATGGGATTATATCAGGAATTAGACTGAAGCAGCCATGAGGCTACCATGCTGACAATTCTTTTGCTAACATTAATGGGTGTCAGATCACTTCTGGGATTGCTGCAAATGGAGTAGGAATGGGAGCGCGGACCTCCGGGGAAGGATCAATCATTTAGAGTTGCTGGGGAGCTTACTAGGGCTAGGTAACCCCTCAGAAGAAAGCCCACAAGGAAATCTGGAGGTGGGGCTTTGGCAGCGCCAGTTTGCAGAAGCCTGCTCCACTTCAGTGGAAAGTTCTTGCATGGAGGCATTCTATAAATGCATTAAATATATAAGCAGAGCCATTTGGTTCACTTCTATGAGCCTTCTGCCTCAAGGTGTTAGATGAGGATAGTTATAGTAAGATCATTTTATTGTGTGATTTGTCTCCCTTGGCAGAAATGTCAGCCCACACAAAGTTAATTATGAGCACAGTCCAGTGAAAACTAAATGCTTGAGTACTGTTTTTTAAAAAGTTCAGTGTCTCAGTACTGGATTTAAGCACATGGGCAAAATATTCCTGCATCTCAAGGGGTTGGACTAGATGACCCTTGAGGTCTCTTCCAACTGTACAATTCCATATTCAGTCCTCCACAAACTTCTGAAGATCTAATAATATTAATAATGATTTTTTAAAAATTCCCTAAGGAAAAAGGAGAGAAGGTTGTGTATATGCTAGATAAAGACAAAAATGCATTTATACCAGCAATGACAATTACAGATATTTCACCTAAAACCAAAGCATATTAAATCAGCCAAAGCCACATAATTTTTAATTTGCATGTCATGCTAATCACCCTTAGGTCTGCCCCTGGTATATGACAGTGTATGCAATAATAACCACACAGACCTTTGTTTTTGCTAAGAGTCTGAAGTGACCTTTTAATAAGGGACTGGACTGAAACTGAGACCCAATTATACTGTTAATTAAACTTCTATTTTCTCCTCTGTGGTTTCCTTTTGCCTGCAGCTTCATTTATAATTCTGGTATGGTTGCATTTTTATATAGCCCATAAATTTTCTATTTCTATTCTTTTTTGAAACTACATTATCAAGTGTGTTAAAAATTGTACTTATTCTTGAAGCAATAAGAAACTGCTACTAGAGGCTGTTGTCAGGGATCTAGCAGGGTCAGATGCTGAGAATGAGGCTAACTCTGAGAATGAGAGATTGCAGCCTCAGGCAAGGCAAGAGTGGGTTAACTGCCCCTCTTCCTTCTCAATCTTATGAAGCTGGCAGAGACCAAAGGGACTATGACACAGGTAGAGATTATAATTGGTGGTTGGACTCAGGTAATAATAGAAAGAAGGTTACTTGGGCCAGACCGGTAGAAACACAGTCAGATTTGGATACCACTGAAGGATAGAGCTCCAAGTCTATTACCACTTTGGGTGAAGACAATACATTTGGATACCCCTTGAGATCTAGGTATAGAGCTAGGAACAACTCTTATAAACAGAATTTTTCTCAATTACATCCCAGACGGAACAGACAAAGGACTTAATTGTTAATTTGTCTACTCGTCCATTAAATAATCTTGAAAAGAAAGTATTGAACCTAGGACTGGGCTTTGTACCTGTACCACGATATAATGCATTTAATACCAGGGTCGATCTGTTTAAACTGATAAGACTTATTAAATTAAAGAAATTATTTCACAATACTTCCTGCCCCAAGCCTACTAATATGTTTAGAAATAAGTCCAATTTTTGCCCTGATATAGTAGATCCTCATATCACAGTTTTTGAACAAGTAGTCACAAGAGATATAGCTAGACTGGAAGCACAATCTAAATACAATTGGTCTAACTTAACCAGAGAAGAACATATAACTTTAAAGAACCTTTTGTCTGATAAAAGTATTGTTGTTAAACCAGCGGACAAAGGTAGGGCTATAATTATGAATAAAATTGATTATTGTCAGGAAGTACTACGTCAATTGAATGATACCTCTTACTACAAGAAACTTCCCTCTGACCCGTCTAAACATATTGCTAGAATGATTAACTTCATGGTTAAAGAGGCTGAAATAATGGGATTCATCGATTTGTCCTTAAAACAGTTTCTTTCCAATAACAACCTGCGTATACCTTTATTTTATATTTTGCCCAAGATCCATAAAGAAGGATTTCCGCCACCTGGTAGACCTATAGTATCAGGAACTAACTCTATGTTGGAACCTCTATCCAAGTACCTGGATTCTTTTCTGAATCCTCATGTAGTTAAATTACGGTCTTACTTGCATAACATTAGGGACTTTATTAAAAAAGTTTAGGGTTTTCAAATCCCTATATCAGCCATTTTAGTTACAATGGACATATCCTCCCTTTATACTAATATCCCCCTTGAGGAAGCCGGTATGATTATAGATAATATTCTCTGAGATAGAGAGGATCCACATCCACCTACCTTTTTCCTCATGGAATTAGTTGATCTTATTTTTGAACATAATTTTTTTAAATTTCAGGAGGATTTCCACTTACAAATTAGAGGAGTTGCTATGGGCAGTGCATGTACCCCCAGTATAGCTAATTTATTTATGGGAAAACTTGAGGAAGATTTCCTTTATAACCGAAAATAATCCTTATTTTGATGAAATACTCATATATAAGAGATTTGGGGATGACCTTTTCTTAGTATTTAGGAACATTAGTATATCAATAATTTTTTTATATGGTGTCAGAACATTCATCCTAATATTAAGTTTACAACTCACTTTCATAGCCAACAAATAACATTTTTGGATACAATGGTATATCGTGATGGGGCAAATAATTTGGCAGTTCAGCCGTTTAAGAAACCAACAGATAGGCCGTCATATCTTCATTATAAATCATTTCACCCCCTTCACCTCAAACAGAATTTACCCTAAGGTGAATTCCTAAGAATAAAGTGTAATTCTACCACACATCAGGATTACACAAAAAATTGTGCACAAATGGCACGTGATTTTGTTGGTAGAGGTTATCCACAACATGTTATAAAAACAGCACAGATTAGAGCATACAATAGGCCTCGATATACTCTTCTGGAAAAACGATCTAAACTCGAAGATAACCTTGGGCTCTAGACTATACCCCATTATCCAATTCAATTGTTAAGACAATCAGAAAACATTGGCACTTGATACAAGACGTACCAGGTTGCCCATCTACAGTGGTACCTCAGGTTACATATGCTTCAGGTTACATACGCTTCAGGTTACAGACTATGCTAACCCAGAAATAGTGCTTCAGGTTAAGAACTTTGCTTCAGGATGAGAACAGAAATCATGCTCCGGTGACGCGGCAGCAGCAGGAGGCCCCATTAGCTAAAGTGGCACTTCAGGTTAAGAACAGTTTCAGGTTAAGAATGGACCTCCGGAATGAATTAAGTACTTAACCTGAGGTACCACTGTATACTTCCACGGATCAGTTTCCATAGAACCAGAAACTTTAAAGACATGCTTGTACATGCGGATATAATGGATAAGAACCAGCTATGCGGATATAATGGATAAGAACCAGGTTGCGATATAAAAGGACATTTTAAATGCGGAAGATGTGCAGCGTGTAGTTTAACAATTGAGACGAAAGATTTTATTATACAGTGATATCTCAGGTTAAGTACTTAATTCGTTCCGGAGGTCCGTTCTTAACCTGAAACTGTTCTTAACCTGAAGCACCACTTTAGCTAATGGGGCCTCCTGCTGCTGCCGTGCCGCTGGAGCACAATTTCTGTTCTCATCCTGAAGCAAAGTTCTTAACCTGAGGTACTATTTCTGGGTTAGCGGAGTCTGTAACCTGAAGCGTACGTAACCTGAAGTGTATGTAACCCGAGGTACCACTGTACCTGGAACCAACAGCATTATTAAGCTGGAAACATTTACCAACTGTAATTCCCAAGGAGTGGTATATGCCATTCATTGTATTTGCAACCTTTGGTATGTGGGTAGTACTACAAGAAGGGTTAAAAGTAGAATACTAGAGCACAAAAATCGTATTCTTAATAAAGTGATGGAAGCACCTCATACATCTCACTTCTTAGAAGCTAAACATAAGGCAACGGATTTCAGATGGTTTATCATTTATAAACATCAAACTCCTGAGATAAATATGGATATTTTAAGAAAGAAATTACTACAGAAAGAAATGTATTGGATTTTTAGATTTGGTTCCTTAATTCCGTCAGGTCTCAATTCTTATATTGACTTTAGTTCCTTCTTATAATAATTTCTTACAACTCTATTTCATATTATTCTTGTTATTCTTTACAAACCTTAGTAATCCCGCCCTTTGTTTGAACTAGATGGTCTGTCCCTTTAAAAATTCTTTCACCTTACAGTATAAAAACCTGTGATTGGAAACACCCTATATCAGTCTTTAACATCAGCAGTCAGGAGCATTTCAGCCCTGTTTTTGAGTTTCTGCCCTGTTTTTGAGTTTGTTTGAAACCTAAACAGCTTATCTCGTATTCCTTTTTAAGTTTTTCTTAAAACCTTTTTGTAAAGGCAATACTAGAATTTTTACAGCCGAGTCCTCAATTTCTTATTACTACTGCTTGGTTCTCTTAAATAGGGCTATGTTTAAAACTCGTCATTGAGGTTTTCATACCTTTTTTGTAAACTCAGGAAAGCGTTTCAGCCCTGCTCTTGAGTTTGTTTGAAATCATTTAAAATCATTTAAGGTTTATAATTTCTTTATTTCCTTCTGAGGAAACTGATTAGTTCAGTGAAACGAGTTTTGTAGCCGGCATCTCATTAAGTCTTTGTTTAATTCTAAGTTAATTTTTTTCCTTAAACTTTTTGATTTTTGTTATTTAATTTAACTCTATAGTCAATTGCTTCTTGTTTCAGGGATTTTCACGGCATTTCATTTGTTTTGTGTAATTTCTTGGTTCCGTGACTGTCTTTTTTTCACCCATATTCTTCTCACAGCAGGAGGGAGGAGAGGGTGAAAATGCTAGGTAAGGGGGAAAGGGGAAGGACCAGATCTTGTCACCCTTTGTGTTATGTGAGAAGCGGAAACTCAAACTGAGCACTTCTTACCGGAGAATGGCAGGTGTTTGCCGCGCTCTGTGCTTTTGAACTGTAAATAAACATACATAAATCTTCCAAAGGCTCGTTAATTCTTATTGGAGCTGTTTGACTGTCTGAGATCATTACAGAGTGCTCAGTCTGCCAATCCCACACATCAAAGGCCAGAGAAGAAGGCGAGGCTGTTGACGGAAGAAGGAGCTACGGCCACCACTGGAGCCAAAGCGGACCAGGAGATGCAAGAACAGGCAGATAGACAGATGCAGTTACTATTTCAACAAAACGCGGGGCTAAAGGCTCAAATTGACCTGCTAGCCGGGATGGTAAATCAACAACAACTAGAATTGGCAGAAGAAAGAGAAAGTGGGATAAGCAACTACTCCTTATGCAACTACTCAAGGTGGAGGTGTGCCTCACTTCGACATGACACCCAGAGATGAACAGGGAGTCGGAGAGGACTAATGCTATGTTGCAACAGTACCTCAGGTGATATGTAAACTACAAGCAAGACGACTGGGTGTCCAAGTTGCTCTTGGCGGAGTTTGCGTATAATAATGCACTTCACACATCCTCAGCAGTCGCCCAGTTTCACCAGTTACAGACAAGTGTTTTTCCTTTGCAGACTGATAACCTGTCAGCACCAGAAGCAGAAGAGTTTGCTGAAGAACTGACCGCCATACAGAGCTTGATGAGAGAATGTTTGGACTTTGGCAAAAAGTTATATGAAAAGGAGGCGGATAAGCATAGACAGCCAGATAGAGAGATAAGGGTGGGAGACAGGGTGTGGTTGTCCACACGGGATTGGCCTCTGAAAGGGAGATGCAGGAAACTGGATCCGCAGAGGGTGGGGCCATTTGAAGTGATAGAACAAATCAATCCTGTGACGTTCCGGCTTAGGTTGCCAGCTTCCATGAAAATACACCCTGTGTTCCATAGAGCTCTGTTGTCCCCGGTAACCCCTGCTCACCCCTACCAAACCCCCTTAGGGAAGCGCCTTCACCTCCTGTAGTAATAGAGGGACATGAGGAATCCGAAGTGGAGCAGATTTTGGACTCATACTGAAGGAGGAGGAAGTTGCAGTATCTGATACTAGATGTGATCCAGCAGACAGGTCCTGGGAGTTTGCAGACCACATCCATACTCCAGAACTACAGAGGGAATTTCACCGGAGCCATCCTGGCAGACCCAAAGGAGGTTGGAGGGAGGACAAAGAAGAGGAGGAAGAGAGTTCTGGAGAGGGGGGCAGTGTCAGGAATCCAGCAGGGTCAGACACTTGGTAGGGGTCTGACTCTGAGAATGAGAGATTGCAGCCTCAGGCAAGGCAAGAGTGGGTTAACTTAGCCCCTCTTCCTTCTCAGTCTTATGAAGCTGGCAGAGTAACAAAGGCAGGGAGTTCAAGGCTTGAGAATGCAGGGCGGGGAGGAAGTGAAAGAGTATGTTAATGATTGGCTGCACTATTATCAGGTCAATGAAATGTTCAAAAAAGAGGTTAAAGAAAAAGGTTTTTTGGAAAAAGAATCGAAGTTTCAAACGGAAATATTGAATAATGATTTTAAAATTCTATCTAAAATGTACAAATTGCTGCTCGATTGGTATACTAAAGATGAAGAGATTAAATCGGTTATGATTCATTGGGCCAGAGATTTTGGATATAACATACAGTTAAGTGAATGGATAAAATTATGGAATGAAGGTTTAAAGTTTACGGCATGTACTGCGTTAAAAGAAAATGTTATGAAAATGGTATATAGATGGTATATCACTTCAGTAAAGTTAGCAAAAATGTATAAAGTGTGTAATAAATGTTGAAAATGTAAAGAAAAAGAGGGAACATTTTATCATATGTGGTGGGAGTGCAAAAAGGTGAAATGCTTCTGGGAAATGATATATAATGAATTGAAAAAAATGTTGAAATATACATTTGTAAAGAAACCAGAGGCATTTCTGTTAGGAATGGTGGGAAATGAAATGAAATAAATAGAAAAGATTGTAAGTTTTTCTTATATGCTGTAACAGCTGCAAGGACACTATTGGCCCAAAAATGGAAACAAGAAGAATTACCAATGATGGAAGAATGGAGAATGAAATTAATGGACTATGCAGAACTCAACAAATTAACAGGAAAGATCTGAAACCAACGGGACCATAGGTTCACCAAGGACTGGAGTAAATTTGTATATTATTTGAAAAGTAAATGCGATGAACAAATAAAGTTTGTTGGTTGGCAAGAAGCTCTGTGAAGAACTAATATTAGAAATATTGTAAAAAAGGGAGTATGGAGGGGGAAGGTTATTTTTATAAGGCAATATAAAATTAGGAAATGCGTAAGAAAGAATCAAAACAGAGGATTTTCAGAAGAGCTGAGGGAAGTCCAAAAGGAATGTATTGGTGGAAAAATATGTGTTATGTTTTTATACTTTTGTATTGTAAAATTAATAAAAATATTTATATATAAAAAAGAGAATGCAGGGCGGCGGGGGGGAGAGACATCCTGGAAGAGGTTACTAGGCTAAGGTTACCAGATGTCCCCATTTCCCGGGGACAGTCTCCGGATTTACAAATCAGTCCCCTGACAAAATCCATCTATTTAGTAGGAAGTTGAAAAGTATCCCCAGATTCATTGAAAAAAATCTGGTAACCAGGGAGGGTAGAGCTTTCAGAAGAATCTTTGCTGGACAGAGGTACCACTGTATGTGGAATGAGAGCACAGATACTAAGTTATGACATCAGGATACAGATACAATTGTCCTTGAGGTGCTATGGAAGGGAGGGGGAATTAAATGAGCAGTTGCTGCTAGTTAGGTAACTGGTTTTTTTAAAACCTGGTTCAGAATCTATTTTGGCAAGTATCCTCAATTTTTCTAGTATTTTTTGCTTTGATGCTAAATAAATGTAAACCATTGAAGATTTTACAGTGATCAGTAACATCCACATTCCTTTCTTCACCCTACTTCAAGTAGTAGGGTGAAGTGGGGAGGGAGGGAGGGAGAGGTAATGAGAAGGTGAAAGGTGAAGCTCTGACTGAGGGTTGGGTGAGGGCTTTCTGCAAGCAGCTGTACCAGCTTTTAGAAGTGCTAGCTGAGCTTGCTACAAGATGAATTCTATTATGTTTTAAGTCTGGTGAAAGTGTTTTGAAAATTCATTGTCTAGACTACATTTGTTTTCAGGACAAAGAAACGTATGTTCAAACCACTTCAAATAAACTTAAAATGTTGTGTCTGACTGCATACCCCTCAACTGTCCCAGGAAAACATGGACATCACTTTTTTTGCACAAGAACACAGTAGCCATTTTGAGCACAGTGATCTCACGCCTTGATCTCTGTTAAAACTCCGAAGCCTGTGAGCACTTTCTGAAGTCCTCTTGCATGCTACTAGGACCAGTCTCTTCACCTCTGAACTTCTTCAGTGATGCACAACTTAGCAGAGTAGTGCAGCTTATCCTAGGCAACAATCGAGACTGTTCAGTCAGGACGACGATCAGGACCAAAGCTGATGACTGGTAACTTGATTTTGTAGTTTATTATATACAGCAGTAAACTCACAAGCCATATACAAGTTAATATATACAGACACGATCTTCATCACACTCCAAGCACTCCAGAATACTCCTAACTAGCCAAACAATGTCGTAGGTCATGCTGCCTATATGAGAGACCTCAGCCAATCACCGAGCTGTTACGAGGTCCTCTTATCTCCAGGCAAATTTCTCCTGTGCTCTGTCTCCCTAGCCTGTAGTCAAAACACTAATTGCTCACTTGCCAAGCTGCATGTAGACTATGAACTCCAACAATCTCTTGCTGAAGAAGTGCTTTTCGGGGACTGTGATCTCACACAGATCAAGAGAGTGACCCAGGAGTGTATCCCAGAAGACATGCATCCCAGCTTGGACATGTTGGAGGCTATGTGACTGTCTTCCTCCATAGACTTATTTAGCATTCTCACCAGGAGGAGTTCCTTTCAAGGCCCCCATGTGAATTAGATTATAGTTCCTGCTGTTGTGCTTAGCGTGCTGGTTATTGTGGGCCTAATAGGGTTGACCGTCATGGGCCGAGGACTGGTACAGTATAGACTATATTTTCTGATGTATATTGAACATGAATTCAGTATCCCCAAAGAGCTGGTGAATGTCTGCAGCTGGTCAATATGGCTTCCAGTTTAAAATAATAATAATATTTTTGTATTTATACCTTGCCCATATGGCTGGGTGGCTTAGCATCACATGGAGACAAAATTGAATAACAATGACCCTATATTATTATTATTATTATTATTATTATTATTATTAACTCCACCCATCTGGCTGGGTTTCCTAGCCACTCTGGGCAGCTTCCAACAAAACATTAAAATACAATAATTCATCAGATATTAAATGCTTCCCTAAACAGGGCTGCCTTCAGATGGCTTCTAAAAGTCAGATAGTCGTTCATTTTCCAAGTGTCCCTATTTTCCAGGGACACCCCTGATTTAGAAAAGCCGTCCCGGTTTCTGATTTGATCCCAGAATGTCCTACTTTTCCTTAGGATGTCCCTATTTTCATTGGAGAAATGTTGGAGGGTATGGAGTAATCTGACCCCCGAGCCAACCGAAGGCAATCCTGTATAGGGAAGTTTTTTTAAAAATGCTTAATGTTTTAGTATGTTTTTATATATGTTGGAAGGTGCCCAGACTGGCTGGGGCAACCCAGTAAGATGTGTGGGGTATACATAGTAAAATTATCATTATGGAATGGAACGTCCCTATTTTCACTGGATAAATGTTGGCAGGAATGTAACAATAGTCAGTCATTTATATAGCAGCCTTCCTTAGTGCTCTAAGCACTTCATGCATCCTATCAGCAATCCATATAACACCCATCTAAGGCAGGGTAATATTTCCATCCCACTGTTGCTAGGGCCACCCATTGAGTTCATGGCTAGGAGGACAGGTTTCCCAACCCAGAGTTCATGTGATTAACCACTATTTTGCATAACTACTGTGATAGCTAATACATTTTCAAGACATTTGGGCATAACAAATTGTCTCCCTCTCCCCCCTCCCCCCTTTATGGTAAATAATTGCTGAAATCCATCAGTACCAAACTGATGAAGGATAATAGGGGGATTGCGTCATAAGCTGCCAGTTTCAAAAGAAGGCGGCTTGTAAAAAGTATTAAACATTCAGAAAGAGGCTTCACCCTTTCCAGTTCTATTTGCTCATTCTGTTCAGTTTCCAGTGATAGCAAAGGAAATGAAAATAATATTTTGCCAAATCTCTGCCCTGTTTTGTGGTCTAAAAGTGTTCTATGAAGCACACACACTAGGGAGCTTTTTGAAATTTCCGTAATAGCACTATTAAAAGCTTCTCTTGCTAGCCCAATTCAAAGAGAGAGAGGTTCCTGGGCCTTTGTTTCCAACACCATGTTTTATTTACAACCATTCATTTTGCAATCCATTAATTTTAGATCTGATTCAAAGCCCATCAGACAGCAATAAAACAGTAGTGTTCCACTAGAGAGTTGCTCATGTTCAAAGAGGTTGTCAATCCTTTTGCCCTGGCATTTGAAAGAGAAAGCATAGGGCATTGGCTGTTAAAAAATCAGTTTTGGTGTCTGATCATGAAACATGGCATAGCAGCTTTCTCTCACATGAAACAAAAAGAAATCATGAAATTATTTCTTTTTTTAAAGAAACCCACATCCACAAAAATCCTGCCCCATAGTGTGTGTTTTAAAAAACCAACTTTGCACATGTAGAAAACAGTTGTGTCAGACAGAAGAGTTCTATCCTAACCTTTCTCCAGATATGTGATGGTTTTTTATGTGCATATTGCTCAGATATATGCAAAGGTGTTCAGTGCCATTAACTGCAGTCTGAAGAGCTGCATGATTCTCCCAATTGTGTAACTCAGCTCTAATAGCCTGATCTTAAGCAAATTTTGTAGATAGTATGACCCACTGAGTGCAATGGAGCTTCCTCCATGTCTGTGATGACAGTTCTGTGCACACTCGCACAGACCTTTCAGTCTGGTAGAATATGCAGCTCAGTTAGGTAAACTGACCACTGCCAACGCCTTCATAAACAGAATTGGCCACAGGATTGCTCCCAGCCACACACAACAGCACAAGGACTAGGAGGCCAATATAGAACTCTGCAATTCTGGACATAGCCCTGCAGCTGGGAATGGAGCCACTATAGAACTGTGCCCCCAGCAGCCACCGCAGAGAGCTGATCCAGGAGGATGTTATGGTCAATGGTATCAAAAGCCACTAACAGATCCAGAAGCAGGAACAAAGATACCTTCTCTCTGTCTCACTCTTGATACAGGTCATTCATCAGGGAGACCAAGGCTGAATCAATCCCATAAACCATGTCTGAACCCAGATGGAAAAGGTCCCAGATAGACCATATCCTCCAGCAACCTCTGCAACTACTCCACTACCACTCTCTCCACCCTGTTGCCCAAGAAGGGTTAGATGTTGTAAATGGAGGTCCAAGATAGGCTTATTCAGAAGTGGACACACTACTGCTTGTTTAAGGGCAGCAGGCACCATTCCCTTGCATACAGACATGTTAACCGTTCCCTGGATCCACCTGGTTAGGTCTTCGCACCCACTGAACAGGCTTTGAGCAGCCAGGATAGAGCAGAGTCAAGAGCAGAAGAAGCTGATTGCATCATTGCAAGAGTTCTGTCCACATCATCAGGACACGTACACTGTAATTCCATAAAATATGGGAAGATGCTACATTAGACACTGTTCTTCCTCCCACAGGGTTCAGTTATTTAGTGATAGCAAATCTGTGTATTAGTAATAAATTATTAGTATTAGATAGAAGGAATAATAATGCTGCCTCAAAAAGATAGTGCTTTCCTCCTTTTTAGACCTCAAGGCAGGTTGGGAAATGTAGGCACAGCATAATCCAGTATCTATTGGCTCTGCCCAGAGTGGGAAGAAACCTCCCTTCCTCATTTGTTTCAGTCTAGTACTTGAATATCCAGAAAGATGGGTGAACTCACTCATTCTTACATAACTCCAGGAACTCCATCAAGAACCCCATAAAGAACAGCCTATTGGAATATGAGTAATATGTCTACAAGTGCCTTGAGTCTCTTCAATGAATCTATGTATGAGAGCTTTTTGGAGTTTTGTTGAATACTATCCAGAATGAGAGGGACGCGGGTGGCGCTGTGGGTAAAACCTCAGTGCCTAGGACTTGCCGATCGCATGGTCGGCGGTTCGAATCCCCGCGACGGGGTGAGCTCCCGTCTTTCGGTCCCAGGTCCTGCCCACCTAGCAGTTCGAAAGCACCCCTAAGTGCAAGTAGATAAATAGGTACCGCTTTATAGCGGGAAGGTAAACGGCGTTTCCGTGTGCTGTGCTGGTGCTGGCTCGCCAGAGCAGCTCGTCACGCTGGCCACGTGACCCGGAAGTGTCTCCGGACAGCGCTGGCCCCCGGCCTCTTAAGTGAGATGGGCGCACAACCCTAGAGTTGGACACGACTGGCCCGTACGGGCAGGGGTACCTTTACCTTTACCTATCCAGAATGAGAGAGAATTCTAGCAAAAACTGCTGTCTCTAAGGTGCTACAGAGCTGAAGAACTTTATCCTTGAAGTGCCATATAAAGCATTTTGACAGGGGGCTTGTCCACACCTCCATTTGCCAGGCTGCTTCCACCCAGGAAATCCAGGCCAAATGGCAATCGAATTTTCTGTGGACCTTCAGGGTGCAATATCAAGGGCGGACGCAGCAGGTGGACTTGTTTGTGGTCAAGGGCCCCTACATTAGCTTACTGGGATTGGCATGGTTTGGACCACTGGGGCTAGCTGTCACCGGGGTGAACCACACTAGCTTACAAGTGGACGCCATATGCAAGGAATTTCTGGGGGTTTTCGATGGGAAATTGGGACAGTATACGGGCCCCCCATTGCTCTACAGCATGACCCCCCAGTATGACCTGTCAGGCTCAAGGCCTGCCGGGTCCCGTTCGCCCTGAACCCCCTATAGACGAGGAATTGGACCGGCTCGTGGAGCAAGGAGTGCTGGAGCCTGTGCCTAATGCCCCCTGGGAAACCCCGATCGTCACACCCATCAAGCCTAATGGTTCGGTCCGCATCTGCGCAGACTACAAATATACCATAAACAAGGCCCTCACGGCCCACGCATACCCAGTGCCAGTGGTCAGCCATGTCCTTGCCACCCTGGCTGGGTCACAAAAAATTGGCAAGCTGGACTTGGCCCAAGCATATCAACAGCTGCCAGTAGATGAGGCCACAGCAGAAGCACAGACGATTGTGACACACAGAGGAGCGTTCAGGGTAAAGCGGCTGCAATTCGGTGTCAGCGTGGCACCAGGAATATTCCAGAATCTAATGGACTCTCTCCTTAAAGGGATTCCTGGCATCAAACCCTTCTTCGATGATTTGTTGATTGCTGGGTCCATGCCAGAGGAGTTTGAGGACCGCCTCTGCACCGTTCTGCACTGTTTCCAGATGGCGGGTCTCAAGGTGAAGCGGGAAAAGTGTCTACTAGGAGTGCCTCAGGTGGACTTTCTGGGATTTATGGTGGACGCAGAAGGGGTCCACCCGACTGGGGACAAGGTACGGGCCATTTGTGATGCCCCAGCACCCAAGAGCAAGACTGAACTTCAGGCCTTCTTGGGACTATTGAACTTTTACCATTCCTTCCTTCCCCATAAGGTGGCGGTAGCGGATCCCCTACACAGACTCCTGGACAAGCGGGCCCCCTTGGGTGTGGGGCCATTCCAGGCAGTCAAGCACTTGCTTGTCTCAAACTTGGCACACTTCAACGAGAGGCTGCCAGTGGTGCTAGCATGCGATGCCTCGCCCTATGGCATCAGCGCTGTCCTGGGAAACCAACTCCCGGATAGAAGAGAGGCATACTTTTCCCAGACACTCAACGCAACCGAGCGGAACTACTCGCAAATCGACAAGGAGGGTCTGGCAATCGTGAAGGGAGTAAAAAAATTCCATGAATTCTTGTACGGGCAGCCCTTTACCATGGTGACTGACCACAAGCCGTTGCTTGGCTTGTTTGCCCCCGAAAAGCAGACCCCCCAAGTGCTGTCTCCTCGCATCCTCAGGTGGTCAATTTTCCTTCCCAGCTACCAGTATGCACTGATTCACCTCCCTGGGAAGGTGATGGGCCACGCAGATGCCCTCAGCAGGCTACCACTACCGGAAACAGGCCCCAACCCAGCACCCGCGCAAGAGGTTATGAACCTGGAGCTGCTTCCCGACCGCCCCATTGAGTCACAAGAAGTTGCACACCATTCCAAGAAATATAGGGTCATCTCCCGGGTCCTGGACTGGGTGTGGAGGGGATGGCCCAGCAGCAGCCCCGGGCCAGAATTCACAGGCTACACAACCCATAAACATGAACTGTTGGCCCACAAGGGGTGCCTGTTATGGGGAAGCAGGGTCGTTGTTCCCCAGCCCCTCCGCAAAAGGGTCCTCACAGCCCTACACAAGACACACCCAGGGGTAGTAAGAATGAAGGCCCTTGCCAGGAGTTATGTGTGGTGGCCAGGGATCGACGGAGAGATAGAGGCCTGGGTCAAACACTGCCAGGCCTGCCAAGAATCCCGCCCAGATCCCCCAAGGGCCCCAGTCCAGTCCTGGGAGTCCGCCCGAGCACCATGGTCACGCCTGCACGTGGACTTCGCTGGCCCCTTTCAGGGGAAAACATTCTTCATAGTGGTGGACTCCTACACCAAATGGCTGGAAGTCACACTGGTACCGTCCACTTCCACATCCGCAGCCATCCAGGTACTATGCAGGCTGTTTGCAACCCACGGGCTCCTTGACACTCTCGTCTCAGACAACGGGACCACATTTACGTCAGGAGAATTCCAAATCTTCACAGCGCAGAACACCATCTGCCACATCCGCTCAGCACCATTCCACCCTGCCACCAATGGCCAAGCAGAATGCATGGTGCGGGCCACCAAGGACACCCTCCGCCGCATGATGCAAGGGGATTGGGAGTACCACCTTGCCACATTCCTTCTAGCACAGCACCCCCAGCTCAATGACTGGCTGGAGCCCCGCTGAACTACTAATCGGTCGGCGCCTCGCAATCAGACTGGACCGCCTTCACCCCGATAGTGCTCCAGATGAGGTAGTGGTGGGGGAAGGCAGGAACCCCCGGACCTTCGTGGCCCAGGACCCAGTGTACGCAAAGAATTTGGGAGCAGGCCCAGCATGGGTGCCCGCCATAGTCACCAGTGTCACTGGCCCCGTGTTGTACGAGGTGTAATGGATGGTGCAATGCTGGCATCGCCACTGCGACCAGATACGGTGACAATTCCCGGGAGAAAACCAGGAGGAGGACAGGTCAGAGGAGTCCCAATGGAACAGTGGGGCTGTGAGGCCTGTAGAGCAGGAGGGGCCAGCAGGAGAGGCAGAATCAGTAAATACAGAGAGGACCCACGAGGCCGAAAGGACACCGGAACCAGAACCACGACTGAGTGAGCCGGTTGCCCCAGACCAAACGGCCCCATCATAGCCAGCATCCTTGGAACAAGAGACCAGAACCTGAACCCCGGACCAGGGAACACCCTAGGCTGCAACGCACACGTAGGCCGCCGGCGTACCTTGAGGACAATGAATGCGACCTCCCGGGCAGGACTGGAACTTAGATGGGAGGGGTGTTATGTACTGAGTTGAATAGGATCCAAAACGCAGGAGTCTGATTGTTCCTAGAACAATGCAGCAGTATGATTGGTCTGCAGGAACCACCCAATCCAGCTCCAGATGGAAGTGAATCCACAACCTAATTGGCCTACAGGAGAATTCCGGAATTAGCCAATCACGTGCAGCCCATTGTGTAAATAATTTATATAAAGCAGATACTTTGGGGGAGCTTCCATTCCTCCTCACCACTATGAGCTGAATAAAGAGCATGAAATCCACTCTTTTTTTAAAAAAATAATTTTTTATTAAATTTTCCATATACATTCCACCAAAATTTAACATCCACTTCTCATCAACTACACCTTTTAGACTTCCCTCAACGTGTCTGACAATTCTCCGTATTATCACTTTTACTCACATTTCTCAATTTTATATTGCACTATAACATTCTTAATCTTATCATATTTTTTAAGCAATATTTCTACCAATCATTTTCACAGAGCTTCTTGAAAACCAACAAACATTAACTGTTCATCACATACATTTTTCATATACTCTGTAAATTTATTCCAGTCCTCGGTGAATCCCTGGTCTCGTCTGTTCCTAATCCCCCCTGTTAATTTGTCCATTTCTGCGTATTCCATCAATTTCATTCTCCATTCTTCTCTCATAGGCATTTCTTCCTGTTTCCACTTCTGGGCCAACAAAATTCTAGCTGCTGTTACTGCATACAAAAATAACCTCTGATCCTTCTTTCTAATTTCCTTACCTAATATTCCCAATAGGAATGTTTCTGGTTTTTTAACAAATGTATATTTTAACATTTTCTTTAACTCATTATAAATCATTTCCCATAAACTTTTCACCTTTTTACATTCCCACCACATATGGTAAAATGTTCCTTCTTTTTCATGACATTTCCAACATTTATTACTAACCTTATACATCTTACCCAGCTTTACTGGCGTTAAAGGTAAAGGTAAAGGTACCCCTGCCCGTACGGGCCAGTCTTGACAGACTCTAGGGTTGTGCACTCATCTCACTCTAGAGGCCAGGAGCCAGCGCTGTCCGCAGACACTTCCGGGTCATGTGGCCAGCGTGACGAAGCTGCTCTGGCAAGCCAGCGCAGCACACAGAAACGCCGTTTACCTACCCGCTAGTAAGCGGACCCTATTTATCTACTTGCACCCGGGGGTGCTTTCGAACTGCTAGGTTGGCAGGCGCTGGGACCAAGCAACGGGAGCGCACCCCGCCACGGGGATTCAAACCGCCAACCATGCGATCGGCAAGTCCTAGGCGCTGAGGTTTTACCCACAGCGCCACCCGCGTCCCCACATATGAAAATTTAATAAATAAAGAAGGAAATAAATGGAAGCTGAAACCATATGAAGAAGTAAAAGAACATGTTAATGACTGGCTGCATTACTTTCAGTTGAATGTAAGATGTATAAGGTTAGTAATAAATGTTGGAAATGTCATGAAAAAGAAGGAACATTTTACCATATGTGGTGGGAATGTAAAAAGGTGAAAAGTTTTTGGGAAATGATTTATAATGAGTTACATACTGGTGTTACATACCATCTATATATCATCTTCATAACATTTTCCTTTATTGTAGTACATGCAGTAAATTTCATTCCTTCCTTCCACAATTTTATCCAATCATCAAATTGAATATTATATCCGAAATCTTTGGCCCACTTGATCATTACTGATTTAACCTCTTCATCCTTTGTATACCACTCTAACAATAATTTATACATTCTGGATAAAATTTTCACTTCATTATTCAAAATTTCCTGTTAAAACCTGGATTCCTTTCCAGAAAAACCTCTTTCTAATAACTCTTTTTTAAACATTTCATTCAACTGAAAGTAATGCAGCCAGTCATTAACATGTTCTTTTACTTCTTCATATGGTTTCAGCTTCCATTTATTTCCTTCTTTATTTATTAAATTTTCATATGTTATCCATCTCCCTGTCATATTGATCTTTTTGACACTCATTGCCTCCAATGGCGATAACCAGTATGGCGTTTTAGGTTCCAATAGGTTTTTATACCTACTCCATACTTCAATCAGAGATCCTCTAAAGATGTGGTTTTCAAAACCTTTATGCACTCATTTTTTGTCATACCATAAATATGCGTGCCAACCGAATCTATTATCATAGCCTTCCAAATCCAACAATTCTGTATATTCTAACTTCATCCATTCTTTCACCCAGCAAAGACATGAAGCTTCATAATATAACTTTAAATCTGGCAAGGCGAAACCTCCTCTATCTCTTGCATCTGTTAATATCTTAAATTTTATTTTGGCTTCTTGCCTTGCCAGATATATCTTGATATTATTCTTTTTTTAAAAAAAATGATATTTGTTAGATTAGATTTGTTAGATTTGTTAGATTTGTTAGATAAATTTATTGTCATTGTCCGTATATACACAGTATACACAACAACGAAAATCAAACACCCACTCGAAGACCGGGTTCACATACACATTTGCACGTATCTCCAACACTCTCATCCTATTCAGACATAATCTATAAAAACATATCATACTCCAGAATGTAACATAACCTATTAAAAGCATAACATAACCTAAAAACCTGTCTCATTCCTTCCTACTCCCTGCTTGCTATTCCTTGCAACTGGCCCTGAGATCATTATTTAGTGCAATCAGAGCTCTTGGATAGAAACTATTCAGAAGGCGTGTGGTTCGTGTTTTCATTGTCCTATATCTTCTGCCCGAAGGCAACAGTTCAAAGAAGTTGTGAGCAGGATGGGTGGGATCTCTCAGGATATTGTGTGACTTCTTCAAAGTGCGAGACGTGAAGATCTCATCCAGGGTTGGTAGTTGGAGCCCAATAACATTCTGGGCAATTTTAATTATTCTCTGTAAAGCTTTTTATCCGTTTCAGAGCTGCTCCCATACCACGATAATATACTATATGTTAAGACACTCTCGATGGTACTGTGATAATAGGACAGAAGTAGGTGCTGAGATAGATTCAGTCCCCTGAGCATTCTCAGGAAATACAACCTCCCCTGCACCTTCCTCACAACCATATTAATATTTACAGTCCATGAGAGGTCCTCAGAGATGTAAGTGCCCAGGTATTTAAAACTACCAACCCTCTCCACCTCCTCGCCATTTATGTGCAATGGTAAAAATACGCTTTTCTTTCTCCTAAAGTCAATTATGAGTTCTTTGGTTTTTTGGTGTTAAGCATAAGATTGTTTTCTTTACACCATTGAATTAACCCCTGTACTTCTTTCCTATAAGCAGTCTCATCGTTCTCACTAATGAGCCCCACCACTGTTGTATCATCCGCAAATTTGATGATTGTGTTGGACTCATACAGTGGGGTGCAATCAAATGTGTACAGGGAATAGAGAAAGGGACTTAGCACACATCCCTGAGGGGCTCCTGTGCTTAATACTAGAGTAGAAGAATAGTAAGGGCCCATTCTCACTGTCTGCGGCCTATCAGTCAGGAAATTCCTTACCCACAGACAGATCTTCTGATGTATACCCAAACTGGTCATTTTAAGAAATAACCTGTCTGGCAGAATTGTATTGAAGGCAGAACTGTAGTCCACAAACAACAGCCTTGCGTAGGTTCCCTGTCGTTCTAGATGACTCAGTACAGTATGGACAGCGATGGAAATAGCATCATCAGTAGATCTATTTCTTCTGTATGCAAACTGGAACGGGTCTAGAGTGGATGGAAGACCAGCCTTAATATGATCTAGCACCAATCTCTCAAAACATTTCATAACGACAGATGTTAAGGCTATTGGTCTTCGGAGTGCCGAGCCGCTGCAAGTGCTTGCGCCGCCATTTTGGCTGAAGAGAGTTTATTAAGAGTTTTAAAATTACAGAAAAAACAGAGAAGAAAAAGAAAGAGAAAAAACAAAAGAAACACAAACCACAATCAAACAATACAAATTGATAAAAATCAAAATCAAAAAATAAGAACAAGGCACGTAACACAACACAATCAAGAGGCAAAAATAAGCCACAAAAATTTAAAAACAAATCCAATATTCTCAAATCCTTAACTGTCATTACCTTCTTTCTTTGACCTCCTCACTCCTCCCTTTTTTTGTATCCTAGTTTTAAGATTTCTTTTTTCCCTTTTTCTCTCATTCTGTTTTTTATTGCATTTTTTTGAATAAAGAAACCTCTCATCACCGCTTTACTAGCGTCCCAAACAATACTCATTTTTGTTCCTTTATTGACGTTGTTTACAAAGTAGTCGGTTAGGCATTTCTGAGAAGAGCATGAAATCCACTCTTGACTCTGAGTATATTTCAGCAACCCTGAGCCAATTTACAGGAGCTGAGGTATCGTCGGACACCTCAAAAAAATATGTGAGGGGGCTGCACCCCCAAGTTGATGGGCATTGCCTTTCAAATGGTTGTGTGCACTGTGTCATGTGATTGATTATGCAGGGCAAGGCTTACCTGGCCTCCCCCCTCCATATTTTATTCAGGTTGGCACCCTTGCCTGCTTCACAAGGAGGGATGTTGGAGGGATGTCTGCGGTGGCGAAGCTGCCTGAACATAGGTTGCAAGACAGGGCTTTGGCACGTGTGGACAGCTTCTACATATTGGGCAGGGTTTCCCTCTGCGGGCAGCATGGGGCAAAGCTGCCAGGAAGCATTTTAGAAGGGATAGGACTAGTGTGCACATCCCCACTCTCTCGGCTGCTACTGAGGAGTTCAGCTCAACTGGAAGTCTACATATGTCCAAGACTATGTGCTTCCTCTGAGAAAAGAGTGCTAGTGCAAGAAATTGGAGAAAGCTCAAGCTGAGTATTAGCTACGTTTAAGACCAGAAGCCCTAGTGGTCCCACCAAAGATCCTCTTAAGACTGGCTACTGCCGAGGAGAATGCCCACCCCAGTCACTAACACACATAATGAATCCTTTGGGCATGTGGCTGACTAATTCTCTGGAACCAGTGTGATATCTAATGAAGTAATGTCTCCAATTTTGCGACTAATTGTCCCTTGTGGGTAACAAATTCCCTCCAGCAAGAAAATTCTGTCCTAAATTAAAGTAAGCTGTCTTACTTCGCTCGGTCCCTGTAGTGGTCACATTGATACCTCTTAAATCATTATCTGCTTTGCCAAGATGTCCCTCCTGACTGTGCTAAGTCATGGGTAGGAAAATGTTAAGCATTTTGACTAATGACAGCTCCCAATCTGTCTTTTGTAATGTAATGCTCCTTTCCATCCAGCCCTGCTGATAATGAGATTACCTTGTGCACTTAAGCCCTGTTATACAAGCATTATACAAGTTATAGGAATATAACCGGACTCTGCTCACACCCCAAAGTTATCCTCTCAGACTGCTCCAGATTACTCTACTGCAGCACTCTGACCTGATGGGTAGCTGTAGGAGCCAGAGCCGTTCTTTACCCTTAGATCCCTTCTTTGCCTCTTTGCCTCATCCCCCTACCTCAGCCTTTGTATGCTATTTTCTGTTTCAGGACTAGTCAGCATGCTCAGGAAACATGAGCCAGTGTTACCCAAAACATAACCTTTTCAATTTTTAATCATATCATACTAAAAGAGATCCTAGATATCCAAAGGAGTTGGCAATTAATTCAAAGGCTTCTTACAAAGGCTTTGCCTACTTTTGGTCATCCAATCACAGTCAGCCTTGTTGGGCAAAGGAAGTCTGAAGGCTGGAAGAATATTCTGAGCAGTAAGGAAAGACATATTAAATTGCCACCACTGAGGGATAGCACCCACCCAGAGCAGCAGATGATCTTCATCAACAGCCCTGGATCCATCTGTAAGTGTGATAGCTTATGTCACTACAACCCATTCACCCCCCAGCTCTGGAAACCCTGGTTTAACTTTTCATGGAACAGTCCTAGCTCAAGGATTGCGCGCCTGCTTTGCTGCAGGGGGTCCCTGGCTCAGCTCCTGGTGTTTCCTTTTTTTATGATATTTATTAAGCATTTTAAAGTTACAGAAAAAACAAAGAGACAAAAAAGAAAAAAAACAAGGGAAAAGCAAACAGCAGTCAAACCATACAAATCAATAAAAATAAAAAAACAAAGACAAAACACATCAAAATCCAAAAAAACAAAAGTAAACCACAAACATTTAAAAACAGATCCAATATTCCCAAATCCTTAACTGTCATTGCCTTATTTCATCGACCTCCTCACACCCCCCTTTTTTGTATTCCAGTTATTAATTATAACAGCAAATCCTTCCCATTTTTCATAATATTCTGTCATTAAATTACCTTAATCTATTTTAACCTTATCTTACTATAAAAGACCCTAGAACTTAAAACTTAAATCTTATTTATACCAATTTCTCATAACCATAACATATTCTTGCATAGTTTTTTTAAACATTTCTGCTAAAGCCAAATAGTTTCGTTCCAACATTTTTCTAATACTCATTAATTTTACAAAACAATCCTAAATAAAAATTTTTTAAAAAACTTTCTTCCAATCTTCATCCAACGTCTCTTCCTCCTGGTCCTGGGTTTTGTCAGTCCTTTCTGTCCCATCCATCTAGTTCATTAACCTGGTAACCTTATATCCGAGGCCCTTAAGTCTCTTCCATGTCCCTTCCGCAGATCTTCTTCATATTTATACCTGTACTTTACTTTGTCTCCTGGTCCTTTCACTCGTGGAAACTCCTACTTGACAGTATTTTTGTCCCTTCTCGACAGATCAGCCCCTTTTCCATAATCCACACTGAACTCCATATGGTATTTAAAAGCATGTTTCAAAGTCCCTCCAAAGTTGAGGACCCCCACAACCCGAAACTCCTCACGGCCCACTGCCAGACTTGAAAAGTCAAGACATCCCTGCATAGGGGGGTCTATCCAGCCCCCCATCTCCAAACCCAACAAAACTCTATCTCTCCAAATCTGGCTTTTTCCAAGTTCATTTGTCAAATCCAACAACTCATGTTCCTGCTGGGCCACACCTCCCTCCATCTCTGCCACCCGAGGTCCAACAACAATCTCCTCCCTCATCTGATCTGTCAGAGCACACTCCTGAGTTGATTCCTGGGTGGGTTCTATATAGATACCCACTACCTGTCCAAAATTTCTAATCGCAACAGTCATCAAATCCGTCTTCTCATGTAACTGTTCCAATAAAGCACTTGTCTTACAGAAAGCACGCACCAGAGCCTCTGAGTACATTGTTATGCAAGGTCAGAAGTCTGTTCCCACGATCTTAATCTGTTTGCAGCTGCGAAGCTCCCCAGTTCAAGTTTAATAACAGTTTCACAAGCTCCCTCTAGGGGAAGAACTTCTATTTGTATCAATCTCTTTTCTTTTCTTTTCTTTTTAACAACAGATCTAACAACAAAGTTTCCTTTTTCAGATATTTTGTCAGTATTTGTTCCTTTAAAATGCGAAAGAGAACAATGGAATCACTATGTTTCTCTTCTTTTAACTATCTGTCAAAAATATTTGTCTATAGTCAATGAACTTCCCCAAAAAGTCTGTCCTGACATCCCGCTCCCAGGTTCAAGACGGTGGAACATTACTTTTCTTTACACTCTCTCCTGCAAGTTTAAACCATCCGGAAAAAATCCCCCCTCTTCTCCTGCTTCCGAAGGGGGTTCAGTAGTTTTAAATGATGAAAGTTGATCCTTTACAAACGATTTTCTGAACTCTAGTTTGCCATGTCTTTGCTTTAATCTATCTACAAGAAATGGAAGGCTGACTTCCTGTTTAGACCTTCCCGCTTCAGTGCCAAATTAAGAAGAATTTCCTAATCCAATTTTCCCTTCTTCTCACAGATCGTTGTTTAAAGTCCAATTGTCCAAATTTGATCTGCTCACGGGTAGTTGTTTTTGTAACCCAATTGTCCCAGGAAAAAGGTAGCACTCTCCGGCAACGGCTGTGCGGCTTTGCTCCACAGAAGAAGCAGTTGACTCTCAGCACCGCGCCACTAGCCCCTCTTCGCTCCGGAGCCTGTAGTTGGGTTCCTTTATGGATTGGGGGGGCGCAAAAGGTGCCCGCCGAGTCCCATGGTCACAGGCTTCCTCCGCCTGTGATTTTTTGAAGGGTCCCCGCTTCGCCGTAACAGAACAGACCCGTTTTCCGTGGAGCCAGTCCCTCCGGATCAGAGGGAATCCGCCATTACCGATGGCGCCACCCCGGAAGTCAGCTCCTGGTGTTTCCAGCCAGGGCTTAGAGACCTCTGTCTGAAGCCCTGAAGAGCCACCGCCAGACAGCATAGGCGTGCTGGTGCTGTAACACATGTAAAATACATTTTCACACATATGTAGAATCACATGGAGAAAATGACTTGTCTATCTTCATTATAGACGTTATTACAAAATGAAGTTTTTCAAAATTCAGATGACCCTGACTTTACTTGGGTATATAGGAGATCAAGAAATCTCATACATACATTTGTTTTAACATTCTTTGTTAAAATGTATGGAAATGGATTTATTTCTTTTAAAGAAAGAAATCTCATACGTACATACATCATTTTATTTGTATGTTTTTCCATTGTTAAAACCATGCACAAGGTGGCTTACAACATGAACAATATTTACATAAATACAAATATGACTACAAAAGTAATCATAAACAATAAATAAAAACATCAAAAAGTACAGTAAATTTGAACAATTTCCACATAAGTCATAAGAAGATCTAAAAATAAAAAATAAACCAGAATTAATATCAATAACAGCAGCAACAACAACAACAACAACCCCTTAAAAAGCCCAAGAATCAGTCTGGGCCCCACTGCTGCAGGTCAGGTGGAAAAAAGGCCTGCCAGGTCTTCCAGTACTCGCGGGCAAGGTTCGCTCCTCCTTCAGCTTCTCTGTCACTAACCTGGTCTCCCTGTTCAGCCATGAAGTTTAATGTGTGACCTTGGGCTAGAAACTGTATCTTACCCTAATCTACCTCACAAAATTAAGGAAGGCAGATGTCAGGGAACTGCCATCAGTGCCAGAGGGAGAGAGCCAGGTGATTAGCTGTGGGAGGAGCTTATCAGAGCTTGCAGGGCAGCAGCTGAAGGAGGAGCAAAAGGGTTTTTCTTGTGTCTGTGTTTTTTGTGGCTGATTAGCTGCTCTCCCTGTGCAAAGGTCAGACAGGGCAGGGTTTCTGTTGAGTCAGGTGATTAGCTGTGGGAGGAGCTTATAAGAGCTTGCAGGGCAGCAGCTGAAGGAGGAGCAAAAGAGTTTTCTTGTGTGTGTGGCATTCAGCCAAGGTTCAGCATCCTTTGCGGACAGATTTTGAACCTCTTTGTAGTTGGCTGGTTCAAAAACCGCACCAGAGTTGCTAGTAACAGCAGCTTTAGCCAACTCTTTGGAGAACCGTTTAGGTGGCATGGCCTTTGTAGTTCTTTTAGATCTACGCAAAACTCTCTGGTCCTCTGGGTCTGGTGTCTCCTCCTCCTTGGGAGAATGATGACCTAAAGTAAATGAAGGTGCTGTGTCTGAATCAGTGTCAGACTCATCTGAGGCTTTTGGACTTTGATAATCTGTGTCATCATCAGAATCTATGTTGGCATCAGCATTATCATCATCAGCAACAACAGAATCTGCCTCTTTCTTAACTGCTTTTGCACCATCATCATCTTAAATGGGACGACATTGAAAAATGCCAACTCTGTCCCATTTTGGATTACAATCCATGTTTCTGGTCAACCTAATCGCTTTTGTGTCAGTGATTAACACACGATAGGAACCCTTTTCATATCCCAGAAAAATACCATGTTCACCAAGTTTGCTCAATTTGTTGTCCTGCAAAGTGTGCACCCATACCTCCAAACCAAAAATTTTGAAATGTTTTACGTATGGCTTCCTTTTGTAAAGCATTTCATATGGGGTGCAATCCATAGTGCACTGATATCTACGATTGTACACATAAGACAAACAGGAAAGAGCCTCGGCCCAAAAGGGATTGGGTAGGCCCGAATCGTGCAACAGAGTTCTTATACCTTGTTGCAAGCTTTGGTTCACTCGTTCACACAAACCATTTTGCCAGGGAGATCTGGGCATGGCAGTCATGTGCTCTATGCCCTGTTCAGTAAGAAAACTCTCAAATTCTTCTGAACAAAATTCTCCACCCCTGTCAGTAAACAAACAATGTATGTTCTCATTGTGTACATTCCTGAGCCATGCACAACACTGTCGAAACTTAGGGAAAGCTTCAGATTTCTTCTGCAGCATATAGACCCAAACATATCTTGAATGGGAATCTATCAGCACCATGAAAAAACGTGAGTTGCCTCTAGAGAGCACTAGAGGTCCCACCAAGTTGGGATGTATGACTTCATAAGGTTTCTTGGCTTCTCTCCCAGATTTTACACCTTTGGGAGCTTGCTTAGCCTTATTTTCAGCGCAAGAAACACATTTCATATGGTAAGGACATTTTTTCAGTTTCATGCCCTCAACCATGCTTGGCATTTTAGCCACTGCCTGAAAATGCAAATGACCATAAAGATGGTGGTACTCATGAATACATTGATCATGCAGCTTCTCATTCTTATCTACAGAAATGTTACAACATGTTTTCTCAGTTGCTTCAGCAGCTGTACCTGTAACAAAAGGCAATTGATATAAACCATTAACACATTTGGCATATGGAATGAGCTTGCCAACTCGATGAATTTCACAACGAGATCCAGCAAAAACCACCTTGAACCCTTGATAATCAAGCTGAGAAACACTCAAAAGATTGTCCTGAAGATGAGGAGCATACAGGATTGTTGCATTAAGGCTCTTTAAAAACACAGTTCCTTGAGCCAAACTTCTGAGAACAGTTCCATCTGCTTGATGAATTGCTTTCTCTTGCTTCTCAAGATGAGCAAAGAGATCCTTATCTTTAGATATGTGGTTGGTACAGCCAGAGTCTATGACAAAAAAATTCCGCCCACGTTGATTGGAGCAGTATGAGATCAAAGCCTTTGATGTAGCCGGTCCTTGGGAATTTTGTCCTCCTCCCCCTCTGCCTTTGAAGTTGCCCTTCTTCTTTGAAGTTTTCTTACACTGGAAACTCATATGGCCTTGAGCACCACATGAAAAGCAACGCTGCAATTTTAGAGCTTTAGCAGCACTTTCACTTTCCCCTGCTGGAGACTTAGGCACATTTTCAGCAGCATTGTCCCAGCTTTCTCTAACAGCCTGTCTGCAATCCCACTCATTCAAGAGCATGCTAGACACATAATCTTCTGTTAGCTGACCAGCATGGTAGAAATTTGAGCAGCTACACCGTCAAAAGAACCGTCTAGGATATTTATCATTAACATTGCAAACACAGCCTCTGAAATATTCAGGTCTCGCTGAACAAGGTCCTGTCGGAGGCATTTTAATTGGGACAGATGGCTGGGCAAATCACCATCTTTCTTTAATTGCAGCCTGTGCAGCTTCTTGAAGAAAATCACGCTGGAACCGGCATTTTGTCTCAAATGCATATATCTCTCAGTTTATGCCAAGAGACTGCTTGTGCAGTCTCTTGACCCTCTAAGTATGCCAACAAGTGGTCTGAAACACTCAAAACAATTGTCCCCCAGGCTCTCAAGTCTGCAACATGCCACTCAGGCCATTCATCTGCATCCTCCTGGGGAGGGTCATCTTCTATGGTGTGAAATAGCTTTTCCCTCTGTAAAAGCGCTTTCATTTTGACCTGCCACGTTGGATAGGTCTCGGGCGTGAGGAGAGGAAAGGATAGAGCCATCTGGCCGGAATGTGCACAGGCCATGTCTGCTATTAATTAAAGCAAGACACTTCCCTACGTGCAACACAAATAAAGCCTTGGACTCCTTCAGCCACTCTCTCTCCCACTCAGAGCACAATTAACAGGCAAACAGGGACGCTATCTTCTTTTCTTGGCAGCCAGCAACATACCTCCATAAATCAAGCAGCAGCAGCAGCGTGGAAAACAGCTCCAGAAACTCTGCTTCTAGGCATTTATTGTTAGAATGGAAGACTAAAGATGATGAGGTCAAATCTGTAATGATTCTTTCCTAATATATTTCTTGCCAAACCATCTTAATATTAAAAAAATCAATTTAACTTATAATGTTGTCTGGTTGACAATGGGGGACGGGGACTCGTCCTTTGTTTTCCTCTAATTGCTGCAAATGACCTTTGGAAGTCAAACATCTTCCCTAGCCATGAAAGAAGCCTAGAGCCTTTTCAAAGCATTCTTACAGGCAAAAGATGTCAATAGGACATTGAGAAATTACGAATGGTGTAAAAATAGCCACTTGGTTTCCTTCTTTTATTCTGTTAGCCTCTTCTTATTACAGTGTCAGTTTGGATCAACTGTTCATCACAAAATTGAATTCTGAAGGTATTTATCCCATTGCACTTTTCTTAGACCCTTGTGGCAATACTGTCTGCCAGCTGTTACCTTATTCTACTCCTGAGCTGGAAACTAAGCTGGTAAAGCTTCCATCCCTTTTTTCTAGATCAGAAATAAAGTGAGGTGGGTTTTACCTGTCTTCTTTTTGCATGCCCTGCAAAGAGGCACAGCAATAAGACTAAGCTGGGGCTGCTTCCAGCTGGGGCTGCTTCCCCCATCCCTCCTGTCTGTAGCAGCAGGAGGAGGAGCCAAAGGATGTTCACAAATTTATTTGGGCAGCCAATTTTCAAAAGGACAGTCCACAGGGCATAATGATATACAGTGTCAATGGCCTTAGTCAGGTTAATACAGGAGTTGGTTTTGAATTTTTCTTGAAGCTGTCATGCCCATGAGAAAATCATGCCCGTGATAATACAATTGCAGATAACAATGGCTCTCAGAGTGAACCATTCACAGTGGTATCAGTTATTGAAAAGATGGAAAACTCTGAGTAGGCTGAAAGCAAAGAGTAAGGGTACCATAACTTCTGTCATAGAGCTTCACTATGCTGATGACAACGTAGTGTGTGTGTGCGTGCACACTCAGAGGATGACCTCCAAACCACCCTAAATATCTTCACAGAAGCTTACAAAAAGCTTGGCCTATCACTCAACATCCAAAAAACCAAAGTGCGGCACCAACAAGTGCAAAACAACCCCTCTGCAGCCCCACAAATCCAACTCAATGGTGTAACACTGGAAAATGTCAATCACTTCACCTACCTGGGCAATAATCTTTCCACAAGGGCCGACATTGTTGCTGAAATTCAGCATCAGCTGAACTCTGTGAATGCAGCTTTCTCCCAACTGAAGTGCAGTGTTTAAGAACCAGAACATTTGGAGGGAAACCCAAATGCTTGTTTACAAAGCTATTGTACTACCAACCTTACTGTCTGCTTGTGAAACATGGACCACTTATAAATTCAGTTCCTAGAAAATTCCAGCAACGGTGTCTCAGAAAATTTTTACATATCATAGAATCATAGAATTGGAATAGACCACAAGGGCCATCGAGTCCAACCCCCTGCCAAGCAGGAAACACCATCAGAGCACTCCTGACATATGGTTGTCAAGCCTCTGCTTAAAGACCTCCAAAGAAGGAGACTCCACCACACTCCTTGGCAGCAAATTCCACTGTCAAACAGCTCTTACTGTCAGGAAGTTCTTCCTAATGTTTAGGTGGAATCTTCTTTCTTGTAGTTTGGATCCATTGCTCCGTGTCCACTTCTCTGGAGCAGCAGAAAACAACCTTTCTCCCTCCTCTATATGACATCCTTTTATATATTTGAACATGGCTATCATATCACCCCTTAACCTCCTCTTCTCCAGGCTAAACATGCCCAGCTCCCTTAGCCATTCCTCATAAGGCATCGTTTCCAGGCCATTGACCATTTTGGTTGCCCTCCTCTGGACACGTTCCAGTTTGTCAGTGTCCTTCTTGAACTGTGGTGCCCAGAACTGGACAAAGTACTCCAGGTGAGGTCTGACCAGAGCAGAATACAGTGGCACTATTACTTCCCTTGATCTAGATGCTATACTCCTATTGATGCAGCCCAGAATTGCATTGGCTTTTTTAGCTGCCGCGTCACACTGTTGGCTCATGTCAAGTTTGTGGTCAACCAAGACTCCTAGATCCTTTTCACATGTACTGCTCTCAAGCCAGGTGTCCCCCATCTTGTATTTGTGCCTCTCATTTTTTTTGCCCAAGTGTAATACTTTACATTTCTCCCTGTTCAAATTCATCTTGTTTGTTTTGGCCCAGTTCTCTAATTCTGTCAAGGTCGTTTTGAAGTGTGATCCTGTCCTCTGGGGTGGTAGCCACCCTTCCCAGTTTGGTGTCATCTGCAAATTTGATCAGGATGCCCTTGAGTCCATCATCCAAGTCGTTGATAAAGATGTTGAATAAGACCGGGCCCAAGACAGAACCCTGTGGCACCCCACTAGTCACTCTTCTCCAGGATGAAGAGGAACCATTGATGAGCACCCTTTGGCTTCGGTCAGTCAGCCAGTTACAAATCCACTGAGTGGTAGCATAGTCAAGACCGCATTTTACCAGCTTCTTTACAAGAATATCATGGGGCACCTTGTCAAATGCCTTGCTGAAATCAAGGTAGGCTACATCCTCTGCGTTCCCTTCATCTACCAGGCTTGTAATTCTGTCAAAAAACGAGATCAGGTTAGTCTGACATGACTTATTTTTCAGAAATCCATGCTGACTATTGGTGATCACAGCATTCCTTTCTAGGTGCTCACAGACTGTTTGCTTAATGATCTGCTCCAGAATCTTCCCTGGTATTGATGTCAGACTGACTGGGCGATAATTATTTGGGTCCTCTCTATTCCCCTTTTTGAAAATAGGGACAACATTTGCCCTCCTCCAGTCTGCCGGGACTTCGCCTGTTCTCCAGGAATTCTCAAAGATGACTGCCAGTGGTTCTGAGATCTCATCTGCCAGTTCTTTTAATACTCTTGGATGCAGTTCATCTGGCCCTGGAGACTTGAATACATCTAAACTAGCCAAGTATTCTTGTACTATCTCCTTAGTTATTCTGGGCTGTGTTTCCTCTGCTGAATCATTTGCTCCAAATTCTTCAGGTCGGGCATTGTTTTCTTTATCGGAGAAGACTGGGGCAAAGAAGGCATTGAGGAGTTCAGCCCTTTCTGTGTCCCCTGTTTGCATTTCACCATCTTCTCCTCTGAGTGACCCCACTGTTTCTTTGTTCTTCCTTTTGCTACGAACATACCCATAAAAGCCTTTTTGTTGCTTTTAACCTCTCTAGCAAGCCTGAGTTCATTCTGTGCTTTAGCTTTTCTGACTTTGTGTCTACATGTGCTGGCTATTTGTTTGAATTCCTCTTTGGTGGTTTCCCCCCTTTTCCATTTTTGTACACATCCTTTTTAATCTTAACTCAGTTAAAAGTTCTTTAGATAGCCACCCATGCTTCTTTAGGCACCTTCCATGTTTCCGTCTCATTGGTATTGCCTGAAGTTGTGCTTTTACTATCTCCCTCTTAACAAACTCCCAGCCATCATGAACTCCCTTTCCTTTTAGTATTACTGTCCATGGGATCTCACCCAGCACTTCCCTAAGTTTTATGAAGTCGGCTTTCTTAAAGTCAAGAAATTGAGTCCTAGTATGCTTGGCTGCTCCTTTCCGCTGTATAGTAAACTTCAGAAGAGCATGATCACTCGTGCCTAATGATCCTTCCACTTCTACCCCACTAACCAGGTCATCAACATTGGTTAGGACCAGATCTAAAATGGCTGTTCCTCTTGTTGCTTCTCCCACTTTCTGGACAATGAAGTTGTCTGCAAGGCCAGTGAGGAATCTGTTTGACCTTATGCTCTTGGCTGAGTTTGACATCCAACAAATATCCGGGTAATTGAAGTCCCCCATTACTACTATCTCCCTTCCTTTTGCATGCTTGGCCATCTCTTCCAGGAAGGCATCATCTATGTCCTCCGTTTGGCTTGGGGATCTATAGTAAACTCCCACAATAACGTCTCTGTTAATCTTCTCTCCCTTAATTTTGACCCAAATGCTCTCACTTTGGCTTTGAGGTTCTAAATCTTGGATCTCTTCACAGGCATACACATCCCTGACATATAACGCCACTCCTCCTCCTTTCTTGTCTGGTCTGTTTCTCTGAAATAGATTGTATCCCCCCATTATTACATTCCAATCGTGGGATCCAGGTTTCAGTGATGCCTATTATGTCATATTTAGTTTGCTGTACCAAGAGCTCAAGCTCATCTTGTTTATTTCCCATGCTTTGCGCATTAGTGTACAGACATTGAAGTCCATTAATCATTCCCCGTGTCTCTTATTGACGGATTTTCTCCTCCCACCACTAGGTCTGCGTGCTGTTTGCTCCATATGGTCTATGACATTTGGATGATCATCTTCATCAATTGATAGACTCCTACCTTCAGGAGCACTGTCTCCCTCCCCCACATTAGTCAGTTTAAAGCCCTCCTGATGTGGTTTCTGAGATTATTGGCAAAAACATTCCTCCCAACCGTTGTGAGGTGCAGCCCATCGCTTGCCAGAAGTCCATCTTCAAGAAACTGCAGTCTGTGACCTAAGAATCCAAACCGTTCCTGTTTACACCATTTGTGAAGCCAGCTGTTCACTTCCACTATTTTTCCCTCTCTCCCTGGGCCACATCGTTCAACTGGGAGGACAGATGAGATGACAAGTTGTACATTTAATTGCTTCAATTTTCTGCCCAGAGCCTCGTAGTCTCTTTTGATCTTCTGGAGGCTATTGCTTGCAGTGTCATTGGTTCCCACATGAACCAAGAGGAAGGGGTATTTGTCAGTGGGTTTTATGATTCCTTGCAGTCGTTCAGTTACATCTTGGATCTTAGCCCCGGGAGACAGCACACTTCCCGAGACATCTTGTCAGGCCCACAGATCACTGCTTCTGTTCCCCTCAGTAGGGAATCCCCTATCACCACTACACGCCTCCTCTTAGGTTTGGTCGGGGTTCTTCTGTGAGCTGTCCGTTCCAAGGTCGCCTGCACATTCCCTGAGGACTGACTTTGCTGCTCGTCTTCATATACCTGATCGACTGTAATGAGGGAGAGATCCTCAAATGGAGTCTGTTCTTTGTCTTCCATGCTAGGGGAGAGGACTTCAAAGCGATTGTGTATTTCTAAACAATCAGAGAAAACCCTGGGCCTCCTACTTCTTTGAGTCACATTTCTCCATATATCTGGCACCTGTGTTGGTGAACTAGCCTCCTTCTCAGGGGTGTCCCCTGTCTCCTCCTTGGTGGAGACGGTGTTCTCTGTTGCTTCCAAGAAGAGCTCCAGCTCTCTAATTCTTTGGAGCGTAGCTACACGTTCCTCCAGTTGCTGGACTTTGTCTTCTAAGAGGGCAATCAACATACAATTGCTGCAGGTAAAGCTGCCTGCAACCTTTGGCAAGATGGCAAACATTGTGCAGGAACCGCAGGCGACTGCAGCTGTTCCCTCCCCCTCCATCTTGAAAACGTGTCGTTGGGGGTGGCTACAGTGGTCCTCCATCTTAAAAAGCGTGAAGACAGGACAAATAACCCCCCCAAAAAACCCTAGGTCTCCCCCAACAAACGTTTGAGACTAGCTTCCCTAAATCTAAAAGATGGATCAAACTGCGCGCGCCGCCAGGCGCGCCTCCCACAGCTAATCACCTGACTCAACAGAAACCCTGCCCCCTCTGACCTTTGCACAGGGAGAGCAGCTAATCAGCCACAAGGAAACACACACACAAGAACACCCTTTTGCTCCTCCTTCAGCTGCTGCCCTGCAAGCTCTGATAAGCTCCTCCCACAGCTAATCACCTGCCTCAACAGAAACCCTGCCGCCTCTGACCTTTGCACAGGGAGAGCAGCTAATCAGCCACAAAGAAACACACACAGAAGAAAACCCTTTTGCTCCTCCTTCAGCTGCTGCCCTGCAAGCTCTGATAAGCTCCTCCCACAGCTAATCACCTGTTGGGTTTAAATAAACGACAGACGAATAGCAAGTGTCATCTGGGAGGCATCTCCCGAGCAAGTCTCGGGGAGTCCCTTTTATTGAATATTACAGCATTGCCACGTATGTGCTTGTTGCTGATTGGTTAACACAAATACATTGCAAGGGTTGCATATAAGACATTAATCATCAATAGATTAAAAGTTGGGAAAAGGAACACAGAGTTGGACAGGCGTGAAGACCTCGTAATTAAACAATTACTAATGATTGATATAGCAAGACTTAAACTATAACTAATGATTGATAGTAGATGTGGTCAACCATGCTTTAAGAACAGGTCAGGATATGATGTTTCATGAACTCAATGTGAACTGAACATTCCAGGGTGGTGAGAAAAGAATGTACAGAAAGAAAACTTCCCATCATCTCCCCCTTTTTTTTCTTATTTGTGAGGTGTTACTATATGATTTCAGGGTGAATTGGACAAAAATACTTCGGGATACGTGGTATGCCAGCGCATGCCCAAAATAAGTCTGCCCACATCTCCCCTATTATTCACAGCTGGTGCTGCCACTTCGCAAAGTAGGCAGTAATAATTTTATTAGGTACCTGAGGGGGAGAGAAAAGCTGAGACCAAAAACGTATGAGACCAGGAATGCATTGGATGAAGCAGCATAGCAAAATTAATATACATATTATGGCAATAGCATATTGAAAAAGATTACGAAGCCAATTCAGATTTGGCAACCAACCAGTGAGCCACTGGTTGAATGAATCCCAGAGGCCAGAAAATCCAACGTCCTGTTTAATGTGGTGTGTAAGATTTTGCAAATGAGAGATTTGCTTTTGAATGGCTTTAGAATTATCAGTAATATTAAAACAACACATGTCATTCACTTGTTCACAGCCATAATGATGAAGCATCAGCAAATAGTCAATAGCAGCACGATTTTGTAAAAGTCCATGCTGGAGTTCACTCTGTTCTTTATTCAAAAGGTGAAGAGCTTGTGAAGTAAAATTCAAAGCCTTTGCTGCGGAGCAAGCTAAAGAGTTAATGTTCATACTATTCCGTACTGCCAATCCAGGGACTCCTAATAGAGAAACAGCTAAAGAGATATATTCAGATCTACTGGGAAGAGAGACAGAATCATCACAATCATTAGTCAATTCCACAGAGCGGCGATATCTAGAGCAGGACAGATGATGCTTTTGGGGTAATATGATGGACAAACGGCTTAAGCAGCAGGGTGTGCCATGGCTGATGTTTGCTGGAATATAATTGAATGTATAGACTGGGCACGACCAGAACCAGCCTTCAGGCAGCTCTGTATATTTATATACATAGGAAATATTTACATAATTAGAGCAGTTAAAATTATCCTTGCCCATTTTCACACAGTTGGTTTTCGTGCAATTGACCATACGGGCACAAGTGACATTAAAGGAAGCCACGTATGGGGTCAACAGATCAATGGCCAGAGGTGGGCGTCGGCGCACTTGGTTATGGTAACCGGAATAACCAAGGGTGCGGAGAGAATCATTTTGGGGTAGGGATGAAAAAAACCAGGTATCATTTTGCATATCAGAAGGGTCATGACAAACAGGGATAAGGCAAGAGCCAAGGATCTCACCTATTGATACCTGCTGGGTTAAGCAAAAGGAAGAAACATTGAGGGTTTTTGCAAAAGATTCCCACACATTTATTGGTGTGGAACCACCGCCATTAGGAGCGGAAGCAGAGAGGGGCAAAAACAAAACACTGAAAATGAGCACTATCATGGAATTAATATTAAGGCAGGAGATGAGACACAGAAGCAAATTATCAGGGGTTGCTTCTAGCTGCTTTTCCTTTCTAAGCTGTTCAGCTTGAAATGAGAGTGATTTTATCTGGCCCCACGTCACTGGTCCATTACGATTTCCCTGCTTGCGAGTCCTGGGGGGGCTGGGCGCCGCATCCTGGGTGATCTGGAGTTGGCAGTCGAACCGCGGTATCGGGTTTTGCAGGGCCTGTTGCCATGCCATGGTAGAGGCGGACGCAGCGTGCGGGAACCCAGCGAGCACCCTGTGGAGTAGAAACTGCAGCATAACCCTTTCCCCAGGTAATCAGTTTTACTGGTTCACTCCATTCGTTGGAGGGTAATATTTTATAACGGACCAGCGGGGCTGGAAGTATCGCTTTTTGCTGGAAATGTTTTTGGAGGCGAGTATAGGGCTGATGATCCTGTATGGAAACATTCAAATGATTGAGAGTAAAGCAAACACTAGCCAACCAGCCTTCCTTTTCTGAAAGTGAGGCTGGAACTCCGGACTTCTTTTCCTGTCGAATCAAGGCAGTTTTTAGGGTGCGGTTGGCACGTTCAACAATTGCTTGGCCTTGAGAATTGTAGGGGATGCCAAATAAATGGTGAATATTCCAAGTTTCACAAAACTGAGCAAAGGTTTTTGCATAATACGCTGGGGCATTGTCAGTTTTTAAGGAATGGGGCTTGCCCATGACTGACATGGTACGAACAAGATGATTACAAACATGTTTAACCTGTTGTCCCCTTTGAGGGGTGGCCCAAATAAAGCCAGAAAACGTATCAATGCAGACATGTATGAACTTCCAAGGTGAAAAAGGGGTGAAGTGAGTCACATCCATTTGCCACAACTGGTTGGCCTCCAGCCCACGGGGATTGACACCAGGGCTGGGGTGGCCAATCTGATTAGAGCATTGAGGGCATTGTTGGATAATTGCACGAGCCGCTTCCAACGGAATTTGGAATTGGCGGCTAAGAGCTTTCGCATTCTGATGATGGAAAGCATGACTTTCAATGGGGGAGACAGGCAAAGCCCAAAGCAAAGAGTCTGCTTTTGCATTACCATCAGTGAGAAAGCCTGGGAAGGGTTGGTGAGAGCGAATGTGCACCACAAATAGTGGATGGGAGTGATTGGAGAGAAGCAATTGTAAGGACAGGAAAAGGCTCAATAAATTGTCATCCAATAAGGGACTTACATAGCTGCCCTGTAAATGAGTTATAACATTTGCAACATAAAGACTGTCCACTACCAAATTAATTGGCTGTGAGGAGAAATGATGCAGAGCTTTAACTGCAGCTGCTAACTCAGAACGCTGAGCTGACTTTTGTGGGAGAGTATAGAGGCTGTGCCATTCCTCATTTTGTTGCCATGCGACCACCCCCCTGGAGGGGGCTCCATCAGTAAAAACAGTAGGGGCATCCAAAGGAACAGGAGACAATATGGAAGAGAAAGATAAGGAAAATTGTCTACTCATTTGCAGGCGAGGGTCGGCGGGGACATGGCAATCGGCTAAAGCGCACTGCAAATCCATGCTAGTGGAAAGAACAGTCTCCCATTGCTCCAGGGGCATGGGCACAATAATTTGGCGGCAATCAGTGCCAAAAAGGCTTTTACATCGACGACGGCCCTTGCTGATGAGCTGAGCAAGGAGGTCCACTAAAGGAGTCACCGTGTTTTTTGGCGTATGATGTAAATACAACCATTCAATAATATGAACTTGATGGGCCTGACTGAATAAGGGCCGCAAAAGGTTGGACAGAATCTGTCCAATTCCATATAGTCCATCAATTTCATCTGCCATTCCTCCAGTGTGGGTAAGTCTTGTGTCTTCCAATACTTTGCAATAAGAATTCTTGCTGCTGTTGTAGCATACATAAAGAAAGTTCTGTCCCTCTTTAGCACCAATTGGACGACTATGCCTAAGAGAAAGGCCTCTGGTTTCCTCAAGAAGGTATATTTAAATACCTTTTTCAATTCATTATATATCATTTCCCAGAAAGCCTTAATCTTTGGGCACGTCCACCAAAGGTGAAAAAAAGTACCTTCATTTTCCTTACATTTCCAGCATTTATTATCGGGCACATGGTAAATTTTTGCAAGCTTGACTGGTGTCATGTACCACCTGTATATCATTTTCATAATATTCTCTCTTAAGGCATTACATGCCGTAAATTTCATACCTGTGGTCCACAACTGTTCCCAGTCAGCAAACATGATATTATGTCCTAGATCTTGTGCCCATTTAATCATAGCAGATTTCACAGTTTCATCCTGAGTATTCCATTTCAGCAACAAGTTGTACATTCTTGACAATGTCTTAGTATTGGGTTCTAACAGTTCTGTTTCTAGTTTTGATTTTTCCACCTGGAAGCCAATTTTCTTATCCAGATTGTATGCCTCCATTATCTGATAGTAATGAAGCCAGTCTCGCACTTTATCTTTTAATTTCTCAAAGCTCTGCAATTTCAATTTGTCTCCTTCTTGTTCCAAAATTTCCCAATATTTCGGCCATTTGGCCTCCATATTGAGCCTTTTCTGGGCCTTTGCTTCCATCGGTGACAACCACCTAGGGGTTTTGTTTTCCAGTAAGTCCTTGTATCTTATCCAGACATTTAACAATGCTTTTCTGACAATATGGTTTTTAAATGCTTTATGTGCTTTAACCTTGTCATACCACAAATATGCATGCCACCCAAATACATTGTTGAAACCTTCTATATCCAAAATGTCTGTGTTCTCAAGAAGCAGCCATTCTTTCAACCAGCAGAATGCTGCTGATTCATAATAAAGTTTAAGGTCTGGCAGGGCAAATCCACCTCTATCCTTTGCATCAGTTAATATTTTAAATTTTATTCTGGGCTTTTTGCCCTGCCAGACAAATTTTGAAATATCTCTCTGCCACTTCTTGAAACAGTCCATTTTGTCCACAATTTGCAATGATTGAAAGAGAAATAACATTCTTGGCGATACATTCATCTTTATAACAGCAATTCGGCCTAACAAGGAAAGCTTCAAGTTTGACCATATCTCTAAATCCTTTTTCACTTCTAGCCAACATTTCTCATAATTATCTTTAAATAGGTTTAGATTCTTAGTAGTCATATTAACCCCCAAGTATTTTACTTTCTTAACCAAAGTTAGACCTGTCTCCTTCTGAAACCTCTCTTTCTCAATCGGTGTTAAATTTTTCTCAAGCATCTTAGTTTTTAACTTGTTCAACTTAAATCCTGCTACATGACCAAAGTCCTGAATCAATTCTAATACTCTTTTAGTACTAGATTCTGGCTCCTGTAACGTAAATACCAAATCGTCTGCAAAAGCTTTCAATTTGTACTGTTTGGCTCCGACCTGTATACCTTTAATCAAACGGTCCCTTCTAATCATATTTAGCAACACCTCCAGGACCGAAATAAAAAGCAATGGGGAAATTGGGCAGCCTTGTCGTGTCCCTTTCTCTATCTTAAATTCCTCTGTTACCACATTATTAACTATTAACTTAGCTTTTTGTTCTGAGTATGTTGCACTTATACCGTTTTCAAACCCTTGACCCACTCCCATCCCCTGAAGATTTTTCTTCATGAAGCTCCAAGAAATATTATCAAAGGCTTTCTCCGCATCAACAAAAATTAAAATTGCTTTAGTATTAATATTTACTTGCAGCATCTCCAAAATGTCAATTATATTCCTCGTGTTATCAGACAAGTGTCTACCTGGGAGAAAGCCAGCTTGGTCTTTATGGATCTCTTCTACTAATACCTTTTTTAACCTTTTAGCCAAGATATCTGCGAAAATTTTGTAATCCACATTGAGCAGGGATATGGGGCGGTAGTTCTTAAGTTGCGTCTTTTCAGTCTCATTTTTCGGTATCAGTGTAATATAAGCTTCTTTCCACGACTCTGGCGCTTTTTTCCCCTCTAAGATTTCGTTACAAACCTCCTTTAATGGTTGAATTATCCAGTCCTTCAAAGATCTATAGTATTTAGAGGTTAAACCATCTGGCCCTGGAGATTTGCCCAGCTGCATGTTCTGGATGGCACCTTCCACCTCCTGTTCTGTTATTTTATAGTTCAGCATTAGCTTATTTTCTTGAGAGATTTTTTGAAGCCCATTTGTTTTTAAAAATTTGTCTAAGTCACACTCTTTCTGTGGCCCTTGTGTGTATAGCTGTTTAAAGTACCTCTGGAAGCATTTTCTAATTTCCACTGGATTCTGGATGTTCTTTCCTTCCACTTCCAAGTTGGTAATGGTGTTGAGTTTTTATCTTTTTTTCATTTGCCATGCTAGCAGTTTTCCACATTTATTAGCCGATTCAAATGTCCTTTGTTTCATCTGTTTAATTTTCCATTCTATTTCCTGATTCATCATCTTCATATATTGAACTTGGTGTAACTTTATTTCTCTCAGAATCTCTTGTGATTTGGGTTTCGTTCTCAGTTTCTTCTCCCCCTCTTTTATTTTTTCCAAGATTTTATCTTTTTTCTCATTTTGGGTTCTCTTCTTTATTGCATTCTGTTGAATTAGAAACCCTCTCATAACTGCTTTACTTGCGTCCCAGATTACTCTTTTTTCAGTGGTGGTGTTCATATTTATCTCAAAATAGTCTCTCAAGGTTTTTTGGGCCTTCTTGGTGATTTCTTGATCTCTAAACAAGGTGTCATTCATCCTCCATCTGAAGGAGCCGGTAGGTGTTAGTTTCATCTCCATTTTCACGGCATTATGGTCGGAGCAGGTTTTAGGGCAAATTTCCACTTTTCAAGTCTTAGGTGCCAGTCCTCTAGTAATCCAAATTTGGTCAATTCTTGTCCATGTCATTTTGGCTTCAGAGAAGAAGGTTCCCTCCCTAGCCAGGGGGTTCTTTATTCTCCAAATGTCAATCAAGTCCATATTGTCAGTCAAATCAAAAAAGGTTTTTGGTAGTCTGCCATCTTTGGTGACTACCTGTCTCTGAGACTTGTCCATATTTGTGGATACCACTCCATTCATGTCTCCCATCATTATAATGTTGTAATCCATATAGTCCATCAATGTCACATGCAACTTCTTGTAAAATTCAGATTTCCCCTCATTTGGAGCATATACTCCTACTATCAGAAATTTTTCTCCTTGTATTTGAATTTCAATTGCCACATATCTTCCTTGATCATCTTTAAAAATAAATTTAGGCGATAGGCTCTCTTTCGCATAAATTACAACTCCTCTCTTTTTGACATTATCCGATGAAATAAATTCCTGACCCAATCTTTTATTAATCAGTACTTTCCAATGGAGCCTTATCACATGAGTTTCCTGCAAACAAATCAGGTCCAATTGTTCCTTTTTCAATAGATGAAAGACTTTTTTCCTTTTCTCCGGGGAATTAAGTCCATGAATATTCCAACTTAAGAGTTGCAGAGACATGATGTATTTATTTTGCTTTTCCTCCGACTGCACCAAGTAATTGCTCTTGTTCTGTTGGTGGTATCACCTTCTCTAGCTTGTCCAACCCCAAAGGTAGTGATACTATGTCCTGTATTCCTGGTTTTAAAGCTCTGGGCTCTTTTCCAGTTTCTTTTTGTAAGTCTTCTTCGTGATCTTTCAGAAATGTTTCTTTTTGTCCCACTGGTCTTATTTTGAACTTTTTCCCTTTATAAGTAAAGGATAGGCCTTGAGGGAATTTCCACCTAAAGATAATTCTATTTGCTCTTAGCAGGGCCACCAAGTCTCCGTAGTTAGACCTGAGATACAAGAGATGTTTAGGGATGTCCTTAAATATCTCCACTTTTGATCCCTTTATTTCCAAGGTCTTCTGGAAGTGCAAACTCAATATTCTGTCTCTCTCCTCTCTTGATCGGAGGGTAATCAGACAGTCTCTCACCCTGTCCTTTCTCCCCCCTCTTCCAAGTCTGAAGGCACTTAGTATCTTGAAATCTGGTTTGTCTGGTTCTAAATCCCAAAAGTCAGTAAATTCCTGTGTAAGAAAGTCACTCAGGTTATCTTTCTCAAGTTCAGGTACAGCCCTGACCCTTAGATTTGTCTGTTTTTCTTTCAATTCAATCATAGACAGCAATGACTTATGGTCCTCCAGCTGCTTACATATCGGTGGAATCTTTTCCTCTATCTTTTCCTCTACAGCCAATGCTTTTTGCTTGGCCTCTTCAGCTGTTTTTCGATTCAAAGTAGATTCCTGCAGCAGTTTCTCAATAGATTCTGTATTTGAGTTCACCTTCTGCCCCAAGTTATTAATGCTTGTTGTATTTTGATCAATTTTAGTTGTCGCTTCAGCCACTTGTTTGCTCAACTTTTCCAAAGATTCAAAAATTTTATCTAAGGCCGAAGATAAACCCCCTTCAGCTGCCATTCCTTTGGAGGCCACCTGGGCTAAATCTTCCCCTGATGGGGCCGGAAGGCTGGGTGCTGATGGTCTACGCTGCTGCTGTCTAATTTTGCCAGATCTTGTTGTTTTTTCCTGAGTCAAGTCTGCCATAACACTTTATCTAAGAGTCAAGGTCAGTCCCACACTTGCTTGTTTATGGTGGAAAATTTCCCTTTAGTCTAGCCAATTCAAGGTGGAAAATTCCCTGGCCAGTTGTAGCAATTTCAAAGTTCCTCTAGGGGGACACAGTAGCAGTTCCAAATTGTAACAATAAAATGACTGTCCAACTTTCAAAGATCCCCCCTTAGCCGCAAATAACAGCAGTTTCAAATTCAGTGGGACTTTTCAAAGTCAAAGTATCCCTCTTGCAGAGCTAGCTGTCAGAATGTTACATTGTCTTTTGACAGCGTGTTTCCCAGTACGGCAGTATCAATGTCCCTTGACAGCCCGAGTCCAAGGTTTTAAGCGGTGGATTTTAGCTCCTCTTACTCTCTTTTTTGCAGGGAAATAACTTTCAGACCTTCTCCCCCCTCCTCCCCTGCAATCAAGGGGGGGAAATCACTGTTTTGATGCTCGAATTATAATCCTTTACTAGCGTCTTTTAAAGCTTCCACTTTCAAGTTCATTGCTTTACTCCATTTACAAGAACGGAAGGCAGACTTCCTGTTTATACCTCTCCGCTTCGGTGCCGAATTATTTATAAAATTTGTAAAGTTCCCTTAATTCCAAAGTTAGCCTACTCACGGATCGTTGTTTTACAGCCAAATTGTCCCAGGAAAAAGGCAGCGCTCTCCAGCAACAGCTGCGCGGCTTCGCTCCACGGAAGAAGCAGACGACTCACAGCACCGCGCCACTTCCCCGCTCTGCTCCGGAGCCCGTTGCCGGGCTCCTTTACCAATTGGGGGGGGCGCAAACGGTGCCCGCCGAGTCCCACGGTCACAGGCTTCGCCCGCCTGTGATTTTTAAAGGGTCTCCGCTGCGCTGTAGCGGTACAGACCCGATTTCCGTAGAGCCGATTCCCTCCAAGTCAGAGGGAATCCGCCATTACCGATGGCGCCACCCCGGAAGTCCCCCACCCTGGAAGTCCCCCACCCCGGAAGTCCCCAATTGTTCAATTTCTCTCAAAGAAATATGAGCACCCGCCACCCGCTATCTAACGAGATGAAGCAGCTCTTTGGCATGCTCCTGTTGGAACTTTGTCAGTTCCCCCCCCATACTCACGAAGTAGCGCGCTGAGACTTTTCCAGTCGAGTGACGTACGGAGGCTGCGTAAAGGGATCTGGCACATCGAGGGTCACCAGATGTTGGGTTGAAATAAACGACAGACGAATAGCAAGTGTCATCTGGGAGGCATCTCCCGAGCAAGTCTCGGGGAGTCCCTTTTATTGAATATTACAGCATTGCCACGTATGTGCTTGTTGCTGATTGGTTAACACAAATACATTGCAAGGGTTGCATATAAGACGTTAATCATCAATAGATTAAAGGCTGGGAAAAGGAACACAGAGTTGGACAGGCGTGAAGACCTTGTAATTAAACAATTACTAATGATTGATATAGCAAGACTTAAACTATAACTAATGATTGATAGTAGATGTGGTCAACCATGCTTTAAGAACAGGTCAGGATATGATGTTTCATGAACTCAATGTGAACTGAACATTCCAGGGTGGTGAGAAAAGAATGTACAGAAAGAAAACTTCCCATCAATCACCTGACTCAACGGAAACCCTGCCCCCTCTGACCTTTGCACAGGGAGAGCAGCTAATCAGCCACAAAGAAACACACACACAAGAAAACCCTTTTGCTCCTCCTTCAGCTGCTGCCCTGCAAGCTCTGATAAGCTCCTCCCACAGCTAATCACCTGCCTCAACAGAAACCCTGCCCCCTCTGACCTTTGCACAGGGAGAGCAGCTAATCAGCCACACGATATCATATCACTTGGAAAGACAGGCGAACTCGTGCCAGTGTACTGCAAGAAGCAAAGATCACAAATGTTGAAGCAATGATTATTCAACATCAACTTTGTTGGACTGGTCATGTTGATTTTTGTCTTCCAAAGCAACTACAGTGGTATCTCGGCTTAAGAACTTAATTCGTTTTGGAGGTCCGTTCTTAATCTGAAACTGTTCTTAACCTGAGGTACCACTTTAGCTAATGGGGCCTTCCATTGCTGCTGCACCACTGCCGCGCAATTTCTGTTCTCTTTTTTAAAATCATTTTTATTGATTTTCCAATAAAAAACATCCAATTAATATATCCAATCATAATACTCCAATTAAAATAAAAAACTAAAATAAAAAAGACCAAATTATAAACCAAATTATAATTATTACTTTTTCGGAGCTCCCCATGGTCTGGATCTCTGAAGCATATCTCCACATCTCAGTCCTGCCTCTCCTCGTTGTTTCCATATTTTCCACATCTCAAGTTCGACGCTTTATAATTTTCTGTCCCTGAGTCCACGATTCTCAGTCATGTCAAACATCATGTACTTTCATCCGTTGAATACAGCTTTGTTAGTATATATTTTTCCAACTGTCTTTTTATCAGCGCAACTTCCTCTGACTCCATTCCAATCCAGGATGTTGTCCAAGTCTGTTATCTGAAGTTTAATGGCACAGCAACTCCCAATCATTAATTGTCCAAACCTTCCTTTTGAGCTTTATTAAACCAGTACCTTCCAAGTTAAATTGTTAGGCAAAACTGTTTGCAATATTACAATGTAGATAAACTGTATTCCACAAATATCAGTCATTTGGTGATCGATCAGCCTTTGGAGACTGCACTCCCCCCCCCTCCTGGCCCTAGAGGGAGGGCTGCTAGACACCACTTAGCCTTCTCTCTTGCTCATAATGAATATAAAAAACTTCTGCAAACAGCTGCACTATATATTATTCCAAGTTGTTATCTCAAATCATTGCAAAATCCGTCAGCACATAACTCCTGCTTCCCTCGAAAAAAGGGAGGAATATATTTTTTCATGCTGCGTATTTGCGAGTGCCATCTTGCCTCCTCTTCCATCTTTATCAAGTCTTTCAAGTCCTAAATAAAGCTGCACAATTAAATGCCTAAATAGAAGTCCATCTGTACTCTTTTTTAAAAAAATAATTAAGTTCTTAATGAGGCTTGGCATTGAAAACCAATTGTAGATGTTAAGTGGGGGGGGGGGCATACCAAACACCTCCATTATCCAGACACCATGATGAGAATCTTTTTGAAGTCCGAGCTTAAACCCCAGGGACTGTACTTCTGCAGGTTTTTTCTTAAGCTTCTTCGATCCAGTCCATGTCTGTTTATTGTCCAAATCTATTCATTTTTTCAAACAGATGTTCCCGGCTATGAGAATGGCATCGGAGAGTGCCAGCCGTACCGTGCTCTGCGACTCAGTGTCCTGCTGCTTGCACCTTAATGCAAGTCAGCATTCTCCGACAATCCTCCCCCAACCTGGGGAGTCTGCCAGGGCTAATTACCCTGAATTAAAAACAGGGTAGAAACAGGAAGCCCGCAATTTCTGTTCTCATCCTGAAGCAAAGTTCTTAACCTGAGGTACTATTTCTGGGTTAGTGGAGTCTGTAACCTGAAACGTCTGTAACCTGAGGTACCACTGTACTCTATTCCAAACTTAAAAATGGAAAGCGTAATGCTGGTGGTCAACAAAAGAGGTTTAAAGATTCTCTCAAGGCAAATCTAAAAAATGTAACATAAATACCGACAATTGGGAAACAATGGCCTGTGAGTGCTCGAGTTGGAGAAGAGTCATAGGTTTTGAAGACGCTCAAACTCAGGACAAAAGGGAGAAACGTGCTAAGAGGAAGGCACGTTTGGAAAACCCTAACCATGATCAACTACTGTCCAGAAACCTATGTCCCCACTGTGGAAGGGTGTGTGGATCCAGAATTGGCCTCCACAGTCATAGACTCACTGCTAAGATTGTGTTCATTGGAAGACAATCTTACTTGAATACAAGTGATTGCCATAGAAGAAGAAGCTGACTCTGCCCATGCACTTTAGCAAAAGTAGAGTTGCCATATTTGAAAAAGTAAAAACCAGGACACCCCAAAATTGTTGAGCTTTTTTTACAAAAACACCAAAAAAAAACCTTGGTTGCGTGTATTTCTGAAATGCAAGAGGGTGCTGGAATAAAGTGCAATCAAGTAAGAGATGCAGGTTGGTGGGAGAGAGAGAGACTAATGCACATGCATGTTACTAATTATTTATACACCTCATAAAAAATTCAGCACATTTGTTCACCATGAATTCACAATTTACTAGGCCACTTGCAGCCCCCTTCTTTTACCTTTATGCAACTGTCTTTCTTATAAAAGTATTTTCAGTTATTTTAAATGTGCTTATCAAGCTTTCCAACTGGTGTTTTAAACCTCAAAGCTGCAGCCTATGTGCTGTAACCACTGCTATGGTTAGTTCAGTAGTTCCTAATCACAGTGCTTATGGACAAGTGACTCAATCCAGTAAAGAGTAACCACAGATGGTGTGTGCATCCCTATTCCACATCATTGGTGTTTGTATGAGAATTAGAATGTGGGTGCATTTGCATCAGCTGTACACATGGGCTTACTTCTGAGACCAATAGAGGCTGGAAGTAAAGATCATATACAGATATTATAGAATCATGGAACTGCAAAGGAACCACGAGGGTCATCTAGTCCAACCCCCTGCAATGCAGAAATCTCAACTAAAGCATCCACAACAGCCCCTGCTTTAAAACCTCCAGTGAAGGACAGACTACTCTTTTCTTGTAATTTGAACCCATTGGTTCAGGTCCTACCCTCCATAGCAAGAGAAAGCAAGCTTGCTCCATCTTTCATTGTTGCAAACAGCACGCAGACCTAGTGGTGGGAGGAAAAAATCCTTAAATAAGAGACACGGGGGAATGATTAATGGACTTCAATGTCTGTACAGTAATGCGCAAAGCATGGGAAATAAACAAGATGAGCTTGAGCTCTTGGTACAGCAAACTAAATATGACATAATAGGCATCACTGAAACCTGGTGGGATAAGTCCCACGATTGGAATGTAATAATGGAGGGATACAATCTATTTCAGAGAAACAGACCAGACAAGAAAGGAGGAGGAGTGGCGTTATATGTCAGGGATGTGTATACCTGTGAAGAGATCCAAGATTTAGAACCTCAAAACCAAAGTGAGAGCATTTGGGTCAAAATTAAGGGAGAGAAGATTAACAGAGACGTTATTGTGGGAGTTTACTATAGATCCCCAAGCCAAACGGAGGGTATAGATGATGCCTTCCTGGAACAGATGGCCAAGCATGCAAAAGGAAGGGAGATAGTAGTAATGGGGGACTTCAATTACCCGGATATTTGTTGGATGTCAAACTCAGCCAAGAGCATAAGGTCAAACAGATTCCTCACTGGCCTTGCAGACAACTTCATTGTCCAGAAAGTGGGAGAAGCAACAAGAGGAACAGCCATTTTAGATCTGGTCCTAACCAATGTTGATGACCTGGTTAGTGGGGTAGAAGTGGAAGGATCATTAGGCGCGAGTGATCATGCTCTTCTGAAGTTTACTATACAGCGGAAAGGAGCAGCCAAGCATACTAGGACTCAATTTCTTGACTTTAAGAAAGCCGACTTCATAAAAGTTAGGGAAGTGCTGGGTGAGATCCCATGGATCCCATACTAAAAGGAAAGGGAGTTCATGATGGCTGGGAGTTTGTTAAGAGGGAGATAGTAAAAGCACAACTTCAGGCAATACCAATGAGACGGAAACATGGAAGGTGCCTAAAGAAGCATGGGTGGCTATCTAAAGAACTTTTAACTGAGTTAAGATTAAAAAAGGATGTGTACAAAAAATGGAAAAGGGGGGAAACCACCAAAGAGGAATTCAAACAAATAGCCAGCACATGTAGACACAAAGTCAGAAAAGCTAAAGCACAGAATGAACTCAGGCTTGCTAGAGAGGTTAAAAGCAACAAAAAAGGCTTTTATGGGTATGTCCGTAGCAAAAGGAAGAACAAAGAAACAGTGGGGTCACTCAGAGGAGAAGATGGTGAAATGCAAACAGGGGACACAGAAAGGGCTGAACTCCTCAATTCTTTCTTTGCCCCAGTCTTCTCCGATAAAGAAAACAATGCCTGACCTGAAGAATTTGGAGCAAATGATTCAGCAGAGGAAACACAGCCCAGAATAACTAGGGAGATAGTACAAGAATACTTGGCTAGTTTAGATGTATTCAAGTCTCCAGGGCCAGACGAACTGCATCCAAGAGTATTAAAAGAACTGGCAGATGTGATCTCAGAACCACTGGCAGTCATCTTTGAGAATTCCTGGAGAACAGGCGAAGTCCCGGCAGACTGGAGGAGGGCAAATGTTGTCCCTATTTTGAAAAAAGGGGAAAAGAGAGGACCCAAATAATTATCGCCCAGTCAGTCTGACATCAATACCAGGGAAGATTCTGGAGCAGATCATTAAGCAAACAGTCTGTGAGCACCTAGAAAGGAATGCTGTGATCACCAATAGTCAGCATGGATTTCTGAAAAATAAGTCATGTCAGACTAACCTGATCTCGTTTTTTGACAGAATTACAAGCCTGGTAGATGAAGGGAACGCAGTGGATGTAGCCTACCTTGATTTCAGCAAGGCATTCGACAAGGTGCCCCATGATATTCTTGTAAAGAAGCTGGTAAAATGCGGTCTTGACTATGCTACCACTCAGTGGATTTGTAACTGGCTGACTGACCGAAGCCAAAAGGTGCTCATCAATGGTTCCTCTTCATCCTGGAGAAGAGTGACTAGTGGGGTTCCACAGGGTTCTGTCTTGGGCCCGGTCTTATTCAACATCTTTATCAACGACTTGGATGATGGACTCAAGGGCATCCTGATCAAATTTGCAGATGACACCAAACTGGGAGGGGTGGCTAACACCCCAGAGGACAGGATCACACTTCAAAACGACCTTGACAGAATTAGAGAACTGGGCCAAAACAAACAAGATGAATTTGAACAGGGAGAAATGTAAAGTATTGCACTTGGGCAAAAAAAATGAGAGGCACAAATACAAGATGGGGGACACCTGGCTTGAGAGCAGTACATGTGAAAAGGATCTAGGAGTCTTGGTTGACCACAAACTTGACATGAGCCAACAGTGTGACGCGGCAGCTAAAAAGCCAATGCAATTCTGGGCTGCATCAATAGGAGTATAGCATCTAGATCAAGGGAAGTAATAGTGCCACTGTATTCTGCTCTGGTCAGACCTCACCTGGAGTACTGTGTCCAGTTCTGGGCACCACAGTTCAAGAAGGACACTGACAAACTGGAACGTGTCCAGAGGAGGGCAACCAAAATGGTCAATGGCCTGGAAACGATGCCTTATGAGGAATGGCTAAGGGAGCTGGGCATGTTTAGCCTGGAGAAGAGGAGGTTAAGGGGTGATATGATAGCCATGTTCAAATATATAAAAGGATGTCATATAGAGGAGGGAGAAAGGTTGTTTTCTGCTGCTCCAGAGAAGCGGACACGGAGCAATGGATCCAAACTACAAGAAAGAAGATTCCACCTAAACATTAGGAAGAACTTCCTGACAGTAAGAGCTGTTCGACAGTGGAATTTGCTGCCAAGGAGTGTGGTGGAGTCTCCTTCTTTGGAGGTCTTTAGGCAGAGGCTTGACAACCATATGTCAGGAGTGCTCTGATGGTGTTTCCTGCTTGGCAGGGGGTTGGACTCGATGGCCCTTGTGGTCTATTCCAACTCTATGATTCTATGATTCTAAGTATGTACCTGGAGTCACATGTGCACATCCAGCACTCATGTATGTTCATATATACACTGCTGAGAGGTTTAGGCTTTTTGCTAGAATTATGACATGCACTTTTTATGGATATGTGGTAACCCTTAACCTTATGCCCACAAGAAGCTCTCATGCAGAGGAAAGTTTGGGGCCAGGTCTCCTGAAACCTGATTGTGTCTTCTGTGGCAGAAGTCTCCGAGATTGGTGTCATATTTAAATGTGATGAGCATCTCCTCAGTTCTTTCCTCCAAGTTTTAAAAAGAAGTTGAGTGATAACGGGCAGAGGACAGAATCTCACAGGCCACTTTTTGTCCATCTTTGGACCAGGCCAATATGGCCAACTATAGTCCAGTCTCAAATCTTCCATTTTTGGGCAAGGTCATGGAGCGGGTGGTTGCTGACAACTCCAAGCACACCTGGAGGCTGCGGACCATTTGGATCCCTTCCAATCGGGATTCAGTCCTCATCATGGGACTGAAACTACCTTGGTCGCACTGGTCAATGATCCCCGGGAGGCTAGAGACAGAGGGGAAAGCTGTTTCCTAGTTCTGCTAGATCTCTCAGCAGATACCATTGACCATAATATCCTTCTGGACTGTCTAGAAGAGCTGGGAGCTGGGGGCACTGTTATGCAGTGGTTCCACTCCTTCCTCCTGGGCCGTGTCCAGAATAATAATAATAATAATAATTTATTACGGCCGTAGGCCCATACAGATAAAAACAAGACATAAATAACAGCCTGTGCACATGGGAAAAAAACAGCCGCTAAAACACTACTATAACAATAAGCTACTATAAGATGGAATGGCATACTACGCCTTAATTAGCTTGTGGTGCTCCTTGGCGACGCTTTTGGGTAAGGACAGCGACCAGGAACCTAGCCACTTTCAGGGTCGTATGGGCATCCTTATCCTGCAAGATTTGGGCAAGGTGGAATTTTGGTGGAGTACCCTCTAATTTCTGTATGATTGATCCCAACAAGTTTGCCCGTGGCACCTTAAATAAGGGGCAAGTGAACATAATGTGCTGAAGCGACTCCGGCATCTCCTTATCACATTCGCACATGGCGGAGGTTTGGCCCTTTGAGAATCTATGTCTCAGGACATTGGAGGGAAAAACATTAAACCTCGCTTTGGTGAAGGCCAGCCTATGGGCAACAGTCGAAAGGGAGGAGAGGTATGATGGAACGCAATAAGTTAAAGTGATACCAATGTTCTGGGGCGAACAAACACCTCCCCCCAGCATATAATTTTGCTGTAAATCGATGTCATCCAGTCTTTGGCGGATCAGTCTTTGAGCAGTGATTTGATCTAGTTTTAGGGAATCTAAGGGAGATTCCATAGCTCAGGAGTTTGGCATGAATTCTACTGGTCCAAAGGCTGGGGAATTCATCTCGCCATAAGCATTGGGCAAGGTAATGGTCTGGTAATCTATGCCACAATGATAACCAATAATTGAAGACTTGCTTCCACAGGCAGGTTTCTAAGGATGCGATCCTCAATTCTAAACGCATGGCTGCGTTGCTTACGCACAGGGGGAGCATTAGGAGCCGACGTAGGAATTGGTTTTGCAAAGTCTCAAGAGGAGCAAGGTCTGTCATCACGACCCAGAGCGGGGCAGCATAAGCAAGCACGGGAACCACTTTTGCCTTGAACACCTTTAGGGCCGAGGGAACATGCAAAGCTCCATCCGAAAAGAAAAATCGGAGGAGCGCATATGACAGAGTTTTGGCCTTATTAAGTAGGTGTTGAATATGTGCTTTCCACCCCAAATTGTATTGAAAAATAACTCCTAGGTATTGAAATTTTAGGACTTGCTCTATTTTTGCTCCACCAAGCTTCCATTCGTATAATCTCCGACTTCTGGCGAAAATCAGAATCTTAGATTTAGCATGATTGATGGTTAATTGGTTGAGTTGACAATACGTGGCAAAGATCTTCAGAGCTCTGGTTAGTCCAACACGTGTATAAGATAGAATTACCGCGTCGTCCGCATATAAAAGGAGTGGACAGCGGTAATCCGCTAGTCTAGGCGCATGTGTACTTGGAGATGAGTTGACTAGGGGTGCTCGCATGTCGCTGATGAATAGATTGAATAGGCAGGGGGCCAATATACATCCTTGGCGCACTCCCTTGTTTATTGGTATCGAATTTGTGAGGTCGCCCGCAGGAGTAAGTCTCACTCTGGCAAGGGTACCTTCGTGGAGCTGACTTATAAGCCATAAGAGCCTTCTATCGATGCCCTGTTTCGCAAGTTTCTCCCAAAGAATATTTCTAGGAACGCTGTCGAAGGCTGCCTTAAGATCTAAGAAGGCAGCACACAGATAGCCCCGGGGAGAGGAGGAGTACTTCCGTGCCAGATGGTAAAGAACTATCGCATGATCAGTTGTAGAGCGTTTAATTCTGAACCCTGCTTGTTTGTGGCCAATCTGGTTAGTCTCATCTACCCATCGCGATAGTTTCGTCAGCAAAAAGCTGGCATAAATTTTCCCTATGATCGAAAGGAGGCTGATGTTACGGTAATTTTCCGGCTCCATTGGAGAACCTTTTTTATGAATTGGTACTATAATGGCCTCCTTCCATATTTTGGGGATGATACCAGAAGCGTTGATTGCGTCGAAGGTTTTGGCCACCCGTGTCCAGAAAGTGGTGTTGGGGGATGAGTGTTCATACCCCTGGGCTCTCACTTGTGGGGTGCCTCAAGGCTCTGTCCTTCCCCCCATGCTTTTTAACATCTACATGAAGCCACTGGGAGAGATTATCAGGGGGTTGGGCTGGGTGTTCACCAGTATGTGAATGATACTCAGCTCTACCTCTCCTTCAAATCAAAACCAGTGAAGGTCCTGTGTGAATGTCTGGAGGTGGTTGGAGGATGGATGGTGGTTAACAGATTGAGGTTGAATCCCGACTAGACAGAAGTACTGTTCTTGGGGGACAAGGTGAGTGTGGAGGACTCCCTGGTTCTGAATGAGGTAACTGTGCCCCTGAAGGACCAGGTGAGCAGCCTGGGAGTCATTTTGGACTCACAGCTGTCCATGGAGGCGCAGGTCAATTCTGTGTCTAGGGCAGCTGTTTACCAGCTCCATTTGGTACGCAGGCTGAGACCCTACCTGCCCACAGACTGTCTCCCCAGAGTGCTGCATGCTCTGGTTATCTCCCACTTGGACTACTGCAATGCACTCTACGGGGGGCTACCTTTGAAGGTGATACAGAAACTACAACTAATCCAGAATTAGACAGCTAGACTGGTGACTGGGGGCAGCTGCTGAGACCATATAACACTGGTCCTGAAAGACCTACATTGTCTCCCACTACATTTCCGAGCACAATTCAAGGTGTTGGTGCTGACTTTTGAATCCCTAAATGGCCTCAGCCCAGTATACCTGAAGGAGCATCTCCACGCCCACAGCTCAGTCTGGACACTGAGGTCCTGCTCCAAGGGCCTTCTTACAGTTCCCTCATGTGAGAACCAAAGTGATAGGGAACCAGGCAGAGGGCATTCTTGGTAGTGGAACCCTCCCAGTGGAATGCCCTCCCTTCAGATGGCAAGGTGATAAAGAATTACACAACTTTTAGAAGACATCTTAGAGCAGCCCTGTACTAGGAGGTTTTTAATGTTTGATGTTTTTATTATGTTTTTAGATATGCTGTAAGCTGCCCAGAGTGGCTGGGGAAACCCAGCCAGATGGGTGGGGTATAAATAATAAAAATGTGGTGGTGGTGGTGGTTGTCCTAGGATTATGCGGAACCATTAATGATCACTCTTTTGGTTCGGTCAGTCAACCAGCTACAAATTCACCTAACAGTTACCTCATCCAACCCACATTTTACCAGCTTCCTTGCAAGAATATAATGAAGAACTTTGTCAAAAGCATTACAGTGGTACCTCGGGTTAAGTACTTAATTCATTCCGGAGGTACGTTCTTAACCTGAAACTGTTCTTAACCTGA